CTTGAGCCACAGTGCCACTTCCAGCTTTTTTTATTTTTTTTCTGCTTATGTGGTGCTGAGGAATCGAACCCAGGGCCTCATGCATGCAAGGCAAGCGCTCTACCACTGAGCCACCTTCCCAGCCCCTTTTCTTTTTTTTGTACTGATACTGAAACTTGAAATCTGGGCCTTGTGTTCTAGCTTGGTGCTAGTGTGCTACCACTTGAGCCATGTCCCCATCTCAACTTTTTGCTGGTTAATTGGAGATGATCTCATGGATTTGTCTGCAAGATCTCAGTCTCTGGTTCTTAGCCACTGGTGTGTGGCTTTGACTTTTTTTTTTTTGTGTGTGTGTGTTGCTGAGGAGTGAACTCAGAGCTTTGTGCTTCCAACGCATATAGTCTATCACTTGAGCTATGTCTCTAGTCCTCTTTTTCTTTTGTTATTTTTCAAAGAAAGTCTTGTTTTTTTTTTGTGTGCTAGTAGTAGGGGCTTGAACTCAGGGCCTCTTACTTAGCTTTTTTGCTCAAGGCTAGAGTTCTACTTGAAATGCACCTCTACTTCCAGTTTTTTTCTTTTCTTTTCTTTTTCTGGTGCCAGACTTGTGGCTTGAACTCAGGGCCTGAGTGCTATCTCTTAGCTTTTTCTCCCAAGGCTAGTATTCTACCCACTTGAGCACCACTTCCACCTTTTTGATGTTAATTGGAGGTAAGAATTTCATGGCCTTTACTGGCTTCAAACTACAATTCTAGATTTGAGCCTCTTGTGGGGCTAGACTTACAGGCAAGAGGCATTGGCATTTTTTTTTTCTAAGTGTGTCCGTGTGTGCAGACATGTGTGTGCCTGCACACTGGTCCTGGAGCTTGCTTGAACTCAGGGCCTGGATGCTATCTTTGAGCTTTTTTTGCTCAAGGCTAGCACTCTGCCATTTGGGCCACAACTCTTCTTCCAGCTTTTTTCGTAGTTAATTGGAGATAAGAGTATCACAGTCTTTCTTGCCTGGGCTGCCTTCAAACTGGGATCTCATCTTCCTGAGTAGCTAGTATTATAGGCCTGAGCTACTGGCTCCCAGCTTGCTGGTTATTTTTTTTTTTTTGCTGGTTATTTTGAAGACAGCTCTCCAATTTCTTTTACCCTGTCTGTTTTAAGAGTTTATAGGTATGAGTCAGCTGTTGTTCTTTTTTGCATTTTATTGATCCTATTTCCAGAAACTTCTAAAGATCACTGTGGTATCTTTTTCTGTGGTAGTTGCTGCTCTTCTTTTTTTTGGGTGGAAGAGTGCTGAGGATTGAACCCATGAGGATGAACTCATGCACATACTCTACCACTGAGCAATATGGCCAGTTCTTTGGGCTTGAATGTAAGGCCTAGGTGTTCTTCCTGAGCTTTTTTTTTTATCTTCCCTCCTTTTTCCTGTTCTGGGGCTTGAATTCAGCCTGAGTGCTGTCCCTGAGCTTTGGTGCTCAAGGCTAGTGCTCTACCATTTGATTCACAGCACCACTTCTGAGTAGTGTACTCTACCACTTGAGTCAGTGTGGCCACTTCTTGCTTTTTCTGAGTAGTTTTTGGAAATAAGAGTATCATGGACTTTCCTGCCTGGGTTGGTTTTGAACCATGATCCTCAGATCTCAGCCTCCTCCTGAGTTGCTAGGATTATAAGTGTGAGCCACCAGTGCCCAGATAATTTGTGTGTGTGTGTGTGTGTGTGTGTGTGTGTGTGTGTGTGTGTGTGTGTGTGTGTGTGTGTGTGTAACTAGGTCTATAACTCAGGGACTTGTGCTTGCTAGCCAGATACTCTTTATCACTAACTCTAAAGTTGCTTTCAATTCAAGATCCTCCTGCCTCAGTCTCCTGAATACTGAAGCATGTGCTACTACCACACTTGACAAATAATGTAGTTTAGATATTGTATTTTTTTTAAGGCTTCCATCATAAATTATCACAAACTAGATGACTAAAATAATAGAAAATTTTATTTACAGTTCAGGAGGCTAGAAGTCTTAAATTAAGAGCCAGACTCTTAAAGATTTGAGGGGAAAGTCCTTCCTTGTTTGTCTTCAGCTTCTGATGGTTTCTGGCATTTTCTTGTCTCCTGGTAGGAGAACTCATTTTCTTCCTATGTCTTCATATGACTGCAGTATTTTGTCTGTCAATCATTAATTACTCTAAATCTAGGCTGATTTTTTCTTTTTCTTTCTTTTATTCATGCTTATTAGTCTTACGCTGGTAATCAACCACTTGAGCCATGACCCCACTCTTGCTTTTTGTGGGTGGTTTGGAGATGGAGTCTAGTGATATTTTGTATACCAGCTAGCCTTGAGCCACAATATTTTAGGTGTCATCCTTGAGTAGGATTACAGGTGTAAACAATAGCATCCTGTAGACTTAGGATGATTTCATTTTGAGATCTTTAATTTGCTCTGTAAAATTTTTATTTTCAAATAAATCGAATTCTGTGAATCTGAATAGGTAAGTGTGTTTTGGGGGCACCATTCAACCTGTTAGTGTAAAAACATTATTTATTTGATTTAAACTTTGGGGAAGGGAAACAGCTAAATAATGTCAAAAACTAATTTTTAGTGTGCAGAAATGTTAGTTGGGGTCATTCTCTAGTCTGGGTATTCTAGATAGAAATACCAAGTAAATAAATGGTTGATGTGCTGGAACTAGGCTTGACCTTTTCTTTTTTAATTTTATTGTCAAGGTAATGGCTTTGACCTATTTTTAAAAATTTATTTTATTTATTTTTTGTCAGACGTGGGGCTTGAACTCTGGGCCTGGGCACTGTCCCTGAGCTCTTCAACTCAAGACTAGTGCTCTACCACTTAAGCCACTTCCGGCTCTTTTGGTTTATGTGGTGCTGAGGAATCGAACCCAGGGCCTCATGCATGTGAGGCAGGCATTCTACCACTGAGCCATCTTCCCAGCCCATGACCTTCTTAATACTTGTTAGCAAGGTAGGAAAAAGTAACTTGAAGGCTGTGATCAGCTTGAGGATATGAGATTCTATGATATTGTAAATTTTAAGAAATTACATTGGAGATGAACTAGGGTTTTTTTGGGGGGACAGAGGCTCTGCATTAATGTAGAGCCTCCAAATCTTGCATAAATTCTCTACTTGAGCTATACTCTTTTTTTTTTTTTTGGTCCAGTCATGGGGCCTGAACTCAGGGCCTGGGCGCTGTCCCTCAGCTCTTCAGCTCAAGGCTAGCATTTGACCATTTGAACCACAGTGCCACTTCTGGTTTTCTTGTGGTTAGTTGGAGATAAGAGTCTCATGGACTTTTGTAAGACTGGGCTGGCTTTGAACCACAATCCTCAGATCTCAGCTTCCTGAGTAGCTCGGATTACAGGCATGAGCCACTGGTGCCTGGCTAAGACCTATCCTGGGGCTAGAACTCAGGGGCTGGGCACTGTCCCTGAACTTTTTTTTTTTTTTGGGGTCGGGTCGTGGGGCCTGAACTCTGGGCCTGGGTGCTGTCTCTCAGCTCTTCAGCTCAAGGCTAGCACTCTACCACTTGAGCCAAAGCGCCACTTCTGGCTTTTTTCTTTTTGCTTATGTGGTACTGAGGAATCGAACCCAGGGCCTCATGCATGCAAGGCAAGTGCTCTACCACTGAGCCACCTTCCCAGCCCTGGACTTTTTTTTTTAATTTGTTTCTTTAAACGGCTTTATTAAGGTACAATTGAAATATAATAAATTGCACATGTTTAAAGCCCATGACTGATAATTTTTGACATGTGAATACATTTATAAAACAATCACCCAAATTAAGATAATAAATATATCCACCATCTCCAAAAGTTTCTATGTGTTCTTTTTTCCACCCCATGTCCCTGAACTTCTTGTGCTCAAGGCTAACACTCTACCAATTGAGCCACAGCGCCACTTTCGGCGCTGTGGTACTGAAGAATTGAACCCAGGGCTTCATGCATGCTAGGAATTAATCTACCACAGAGCCACACTTCCCAGCCCTTTTTTTTGTTTGTTTGAAGCAAGGTCTTACTATGTAGTCTAGTTAATATTGGAACTCCTTATATAGCGCCAGCTGTTCATGATCTTGCCTCAACTTCCCACATGATGAGATGCTGGTTTTCTAGCATTACACAAAAGAAAGAAAAGATTGAGGACTGGGAATGTGGCTTAGTGGTAGAATGATTGCTTAGCATGCCTAGTGTGCCTGTATTTGGCTTGAACTCAGGGCCAGCGTGCTCTGCTTGATAAGGTTTTTCTGCTCAAGGCTGTCTTTCTACCACTGAAGCCATACCTCTACTTCTGACTATTTGCTGATTAATTGGAGATTAACTCTGGGCTAGCTTAGCACTTTGATCCTCAGATCTCAGCTTCCTGAGTAGTAGCTAGGATTCCAGGCCTTAGCCACTGCTGCCTGACTAATTTGAAACTTTGCCAATTTACCAGTGACTAGATTTTTACATGCAGAAGAAGCCCTATCAGAATAGATAACCACTTAAATGGACATTGTTCTATTCCTGTTTATACTCTGCTTATTTTAGTCTTTTTTGCACAATTAAAAGATACTGTGGAGCTGGGTGCTGGTAGCTCATGCCTATAATCCTAGCTACTCAGAAGGTTGAGCTCTGAGGAATGTGGTTTGGAGCCAGCCTATCAAGAAAGTCCAATTAACTACCAAAAAAGCTGGAAGTGGAGCTGTGGCTCAGATGGTAAGGGGCTAGCTCAGGGAGAGTGCCCGAGCCCTGAATTTAAGCCCCTCGACTGGCACACACAAAGATAATAAGCAGGGCACCGGTGGTTCATGCTTATAATCCTAGCTACTTAGGAGGCTGAGATCTGAGGATCGTGGTTTAAAGCCAGCTTTTTGGGCAGGAAAGTCTGTGAGACTCTTCAGTTAACCACCAGAAAACCAGAAGTAGTGGTGTGGTAGAACACTAACTTGGAGTGGAAGAGCTGAGGGATAGCACCCAGGCCCAGAGTTCAAGCTGACCAAAAAAAAAAAAAAAGATACTATGGGAATCAAAATGATTTTTTTCCCCCCTTCTAGATTAACTGCTGAAGTGCTGATCAAGTTCTGCGTTTCTTCAATGAGGAACTACAGGCTGATCTTCTGCCATAATCTCAAACAACCATAAATGACAAAAAAATGCTTGCTCAGTGAGGGTAGCTGGTGCAGAAGACATTTTTTAAACTTAGGTGTTTAAGTACTCAGAGGTAAGTTTTCACAAGGGTAAATGCACAGAGATTTTTTGAGTTTGCCCCTTGTAGCTGCTCTTTTTCTTTTTTCTCCTTGGTTTTTATTATCAGTTATTCTAGGCTGCAATTTGAGTATTAACATTGAAGTTTTGTAGTTACAAGCTGGACTACATGTGTTAAATAGATGTTATTTGTCTAAGACTATGTAAATTTATGGCATTTTCTTGTTCTTAAATTAATTTCTAGTAAATTCTAGTAAATTAGTTGGATTGTTTCCTAGTCATGTGACACATTCTTGATCCAAAGGGTATATGATTGATCAGTAGGCCTATTTTTTTAAATTTTCGAATCTTGAGTAGATTAATCTTTTTGATCTGTATGTAATTTTTTTTTTTTTGTCGGTTGTGGGGCCTGAACTCTGGGCCTGGGTACTATCCCTCAGCTTTTCAGCTGAAGGCTAACACTCTACTACTTGAACGTCAGCCCCACTTACAGCTTCTTCTGTTTATGTGGTGTTGAGGAATCAAACCCAGGGCCAGAGGGCCTCATGCATGCAAGGCAAGCACTCTACCACTGAGCCACCTTCCCAGCCCCCTGTATTTAGTTTTGTTTCCAGTTTTTGAAAAGTTTTTCTTTTAAAGATAAAATACATAGTACTAGATTTTATTTATTTATTTTTTGAGTCTGGTCGTGGGGCCTGAACTCTGGGCCTGGGTGCTGGCCCTCAGCTCTTCAGCTCAAGGCTAGTGCTCTACCACTTGAGCCATAGCACCACTTCCGGCTTTTTTTTTCTTTCTGCTTATGTGGTGCTGGGGAATCGAACCCAGGGCCTCATGCATGCAAGGCAAGCGCTCTATCACTGAGCCACCTTCCCAGACCGAGTACTAGATTTTTATAAAATAAATTTTTCTTGGGATTGTTTTCTAATGCTTTTGAGGCATTGTTTCTTCCCACAGCCTGATTTTTTTTTTTTTTTGATACTGTATGGGCCTTGCATTTACTAGGCATATGGCTTATCACTTGAGCCATGTTCCCAGCCCTTTTTGCTTTCATATTTTTCAGATAGATATTTACTTTTTTGCCCAGGCCAGCCTTAGCTTATGACCTATTTAACGTCTATATTTCAGTAGCTGGGATTATAGGCTCATACCATTTCTGCCTTATTGTCTAGCTTATTGCCCTACTTGTTGGTTGAGATGGAGTGTCAATACCCTTTTCCTCCTGGATCCTTCTAGTTCACCTTTAGAGTACCTGGGATTACAGGTGTATACCATTATGACAGGCTCTTTATCGATCTTTATTGATTGTTTTTTTTCTAGAACTTGTTTTCTTTTTGTGTATTTTGAGACAGTGTCTCACTTTATAATTCAGACTGACCTATATTAACTGACCTGATTATGTAGTCCAGGTTGGCCTCAAACTTTTTCAGTTGTATATCTCAACTTTCAGTGAAGAAGTCCTTTTTATCAATACAGGGTTTCATAATTATTCAAAAGGAAAAAATTATTAGGTGTGTTGGTACATATCAGCATGGGCCATGAGACCATGTCTCAAAAAAGAGTGACTGTTAACAACGCTTATTAGCCCATCTCTATAAAAAGAGCTTTTCTTTGTTTGGGTTATTTGTGAATTGAGGGTTTAGATAATGGCTCATATGTTAGAGTCTAAAGATGGATTGGACTTTTTACCTGTGAAATTAAATAAATTTAGTCAATAAAGATTGTGGTCAAATTTGTCCTTGAACTTGTCTTTGAGACATCAATTAATGTCATTTGCTGATTCTTGAATAATCAGTTTTGCCATTGTTAAATGTGTAAACACTTAACAAGAGCATTCAGAACTGATGTCATATGGAGAAAATATTTAGATAATTATATGGAGCTTTATTTGTAAAATAATCCAATAACTGGGACATAAAATAGATGAGAACACATTCAGGTTAAAGCATTTTTCTTTAATGTATTAGTCCATATTGCCACCTGTTAATCATTATAGTCTTTTTTTTGTTTTGTTTTGTTTTGTTTTTTTTTGTTTTTTTGTCTTTCATTTGGCAGAAAAGACAGCTTTGATTTCTGGCTGCAAAAAAGATATGAGGAAGAGCTCCTCCCCTTCCTTGAGTAACTGCAACTCCGTTCTTGCTAACAAAATATTTGGAATTCCACTTGATGAGCTGCAGCAGGGAGGACATCCAGACAATGAGGTTCCGTTCATAGTCCGCCACGTTGTGGACTATATTGAGGAACATGGTATACATTTCCTTACTTTGAGGGCTAGCTTTTGTTTTAATAAACACAGCTTAACCCTTGATCTTGGATTTAATTTTTTTTTTAATGTGGAAAGTGGAAAACGTGAAAAACAATAGGATTCTTTTTAAAGCTTTACTATGTTTTTTTACTTAAATTCATGTGCCTAGAAATGACAGTTGCCTAGCCTAGAACATTTTTAGTGGGGGTGATAGGAATATTTTTAATGGATTTAAAGGGTGGGATAAGATAGACTACCCCTCAGACACAGTATGTTTCTAGATGACTGACTTGAAGGCTTTTAGCCAAATCTGGGGAGCCCAGAAAGGCTTCCAGAAGTACGAACATTTTAAGTTGATTTGAGAATGAATATATTTGATCAAGTAGTTGAAGTTGCAGTTTAATATTTGCCTTGAACTAATGTAGGAGGTCTGGAGCAACAAGGACTTTTTCAAGTCAATGGAAATGCTGAGACAGTGGAGTGGCTTCGGCAGAGATACGACAGTGGAGAAGAGGTGGATTTGGTTAAGGAAGCAGATGTTCCCTCAGCTATTAGTCTTCTTAGGTTTTTCCTTCAAGAACTTCCTGAACCTGTTATTCCTGGCAGTTTGCATATTCACTTAATGCAACTCTCTCAAGGTAACATACTTTGATTCTTATCAATGAGTCAATCATTTATTATAATTTTAGAGTCCTTTTTAGAAATCTTGACATGTACTCAATAAGTATAGTATTTCAGAAATTAATTTCTTAGTTTTTCATTTTCTGTTTGGGGCTATATGATCTAGTTATAGGAATGGCAACTTGCTGGATTATATAGTAATGTTTACTTTTTGATTGATCACAGAGACACTAGAGGCAGAGGAGGTAAGGAAGAATATTATCTATATTGTTCATTCTCTTGGAAAGGTTTTTAGATCTTGAAAAGAGATTAAATTATTAGATCTATTTGTTATAAATAAAATACACTATTGTGTATTGTGTATAGCAAATTCAGCTGTTTGGGAATACTTGCTTTATGCTAGATAGTATTCTAGTATTCTGTAATACAGCACAGAACAAAACTAAAACTTTAAAGGGGAGGGTAGAGGACAAATAGTTGAAAAACAAAATAAATATAAAAATATGTATCTATAGACTGGGAAGGTGGCTCAGTGGTAGACCGCTTGCCTTGCATGCCTGAGGCCCTGGGTTCAATTCCTCAGCATCACATAAGCAAAAAGAAAAAAGCCGGAAGTGGCGCTGTGGCTCAAGTGGTAGAGCGCTAGCCTTGAGCTGAAGAGCTGAGGAACAGCACCCAGGCCCAGAGTTCAGGCCCCACGACTGGACCCAAAAAAAAAAAAATTATCTATGATAAGCAAGTACTACAAAGGTGGAGAGAATGTCACATAGAATTTGTTAGTGTTATGTAGTTGTGTTTGATAATTATTACTGTTATTATTATTTTTTGCAGTCCTGGGTCTTGAACTCAGGACCTGGGCACTGTTTCTGAGCTTCTTTGGCTCAAGGCTAGCACTCTACCACTTGAGCCACAACACCACTTCTGGCTTTTTCTGTTTATGTTGTAACTGAGGAATCGAACCCAGGGCTTTATGCATTCTAGGCAAGCATTCTACCACTAAGCCACATACCCAGCCCCCTTATTTTTTGTTTTGTTTGTAGTAGATACATGTGATTTTTGTAACCATGTTCTGCAAAATGCTTAGGTTGTTACAGTTAATTTTCCACCAGTTACAGGTATGATGATCTAAAAAAATCCAGGGACTATTCCATTTAATAGAAGATCAAAGTACTGGCACATTGGAATGAACAGTTGGTAATATTACAAAATAAAAAAATGTTACTGGTTGCATCTTAAATTTTAAGTAAAACTATGTGACTAATCCTTTCTTGACTTTTTAGACATATTTGTATTTTTGGTTGTACTAGGCTTCATGTTTTGCTGGGCAGGCACATTAGCACTTGGACCACTCTGCTAAGCTTTTCTTACGTTGGTTGTTTTTGGGATAGGGTCTTGCTAAATTCCTGAGCTGACTTAGATTGTGGTCTTCCTATTTGTGGTTCCCCATATTTCTAGGGTGCCAGATGCAAACTACCACACCTAGCCATTGGTCAAGATGGAATTTCAACAAACTTTTGTTTATATTGGCTTCAAACTATAATCCTGTGTAGCTTAGATTATAGGTTGGAACCACCATGCCTAGCTTGAACCTTGTGTTTCATTTTGTAGAAATGGCCCATATCACGACCATAACCATTGCCAAGAGTTTTATATGAGTTTACTTAAGAGTTCAAGTGTTAGCATGCATGCTTAGTAATAACGCAAACATACTAAGTTCAAACTTGAATACCACCACTAAAAATTAAGTCCTCTTTAATTTTAAGAACCTGTAGAGAATTTTAGGATAAAATATACTCATTACTGAAGCAATAGACTCATTTTGACTATACCTTTGGGAAATTACCTTTCTATCATCAATCAAGTTCATATAGGCTTGGTTTCTGTTAGTAACAAACACAAGGCCTAGCTATGTGATAAAATGTATTTATTAAGAAAGAAAGCAGTACAAGTTTAGAGAAGAAAACCAAATAAGAAATAAAAGACCATTTAATTTAGTTCTACTAATATTGCTGAAGTTAATCTTTTCCATATGTCTGTGGGAATAATAAAGTCTGTCATGTTGTTCATTCCTTGTTTTCTCATTCCTTAAAGTGAAAAATATTAGTGAAATAGTAGTTAGTGAATAATAATAGTGAAAAATGTTAGTGATATTATTAGTTTTTCAAATTGCTATTTTGCTCATTAGTTGATGTTGACTGGCAATGTCAGTGTATTTTAACTTATAGTTGGCATTAGTTGAGAAACACAGGTATAGTCATGCAGGAGACACTATGAAGAGAATTAAAAAAGGGAAACTAGAGAATTGATGCCAATGAGTAATAGATGAAGAAAACATCTTCCACTAATTGAGAAACTTGAGTTCCTTTTTTCCACCTCCCCCTTCTCAACCCTTCTCCCACATTAATAAGTGAAATGCAAAGCCCTAAGGCATTTAGCCTCTAGTAGAGGAAGTGAAGAGGTTTTGAATTGGTATAATAAAGAAATGATGTGGGTGGAGTAATGTGAACCTGGCAAAATATCTGAGCTTGCTTTTTACTTCATTAAGAAAACCTGTAATTATGTTTTATAGATTATAATAATGAAGATGAATTTGGAAGAAAGTTGAGGTTCCTCTTGCAACAGCTTCCACCTGTTAATTACAGTTTGTTAAAGTTTCTGTGTAGATTTTTAGCTAATGTAGCATCACATCATGAAGAAATTTGGTCTGCAAATTCTTTGGCTGCTGTCTTTGGTCCAGATGTCTTTCAGTAAGTTTTTAATAAGTTTTTGCTCAATTTTTAGAATGAGATTTGTAAACTAGAATCGTATTGTCTTCCAAGTATTATTGTAAACTATTATTTTTTTATAGTAGCTCTGATTAAACTTTGTAGCATTGCTGTGAACAGGGTACAAATTAGGTAGGCTTTACAGATGGGAAAACTGAGGCACAGGATGATGACATCAGTTGCTCAGTTTCATACAGTGACTCACTGGTTCTCTTCTAACTTTACCTGTTATTTAAGAACTCAATTCAATTTGGACTTTTATTCTTAGCATTTACACAGATGTGGAAGATATGAAAGAGCTAGAAATTGTAAGCAGGATAATGGCGGGACTTCTGGAAAACTATTATGAGTTTTTTGAAAATGAAGAGGAAGATTTTTTATCAAATGATTTGAGTTCAATTACTGAACAGGTAAGACTATCTTAAAATCTATGTGGAGGGAGAAATTCTGTGTTTCAAGAATCTCCTTTATGGTTTTGACACACTTATGCTGAATTTATGTTTTGAACTGCGGGTGATTCTCTTGATTAATATTTGTAATCAGGTGACACATCCATGTAGCCAGTGAGGTTTTTTTTTTCCCCTTGAACAACTTTGTCCCCAATTTAGGTAATAGGAAAAGTACTTTTTGTTGTTGTTGGTCTTGGGGTTTGAACTCAGGGCCTGGTCACTGACTCTGGGCTTTTTTTGCTCAAGACTAGTGCTCTACCACTTTGAGCCACAGTGCTACTTCCAGTTTTCTAGTAGTTAATTGGAGGTAAGTCTCATGGACTTTCCTGCCTGGGCTGACTCAGGGCCTTGATGCTGTCTCTGAGCTTTTTTTGCTCAAGGCTGGTGCTTTACCGCTTAAGCCACAATTCCACTTCTGGATTTTTGTTTGTAATCAGATTTAAGAATCACATGAACTTTCCTACCCAGGCTGGCTTTGAACTGTGATCCTCAAATCTCAACCTCCTGAGTAGTTGAATTATAAGCATGAGCCACTGTTGCCTTGCTTATTGTATATTGTTGTGCTGCAGATTGAATCTAGCGCCTAGAGCATACTAGCTATATAAAGGCATTTAAGTCAGAGTATAGGGTTGATATTTTATACTTTTTCCGCCCTTATTTGTGTAGGCATTGTTTATTTAATAAGAAAAGTATGTTTTTCCCCCCCCAAAGGTATTATTCTAATATACAAGAATATAGGCAAAGGGTGAGAAAAGGAAAAGATCAACACTTTTTATTTTTTTTTTTTGGTGCAGATCCTGGGGCTTGAATTCTCACTTAAACTTTAAGGCTGGTGCTCTATCACTGCCACATCTCTATTAATTGGAGATAAAATAAATTTAAAATAGATTTTTTTTTTTGTATGTGTGTGCCAGTCTTGGAGCTTGAACTTGGCCTGGGCACTGTCCCAAGGTAGTGTTCTACCACTTGAGCCACAGTTCCACTTCTGACTTTTGGTGTTTAATTGGAGATAAGAGTCTCAATGTCTTTCCTGCCCAGGCTGGCTTTGAACTGCAGTCCTCAGATTTCAGCCTACTGAGTAGCTAGGATTACAAGAGTGAACCAGCATCAACTGTAGAAACAAATGTCTTTAAAAAAAAAAAAAAATCCTCTGCCTGTAATTCTAGCTCCTCAGGAGGCTGAGATCTAAGAATGAAGGTTTGGACAAAATTCTGGTCAGATAAATCCTGGAGACTCGTGTTTCCAATTAATCAGCAAAAAGCTGAAAGTGGACAAGTGACTCAAATGTTGGAGCACTAGGCATGTGGGACAAAATAAAGCAACAGTTTGAGACCCTGCGTTTAGGCTTCAAAATGAGACAAAACCAAACACCTTACATGAGTTCTGTCTTGCTATAAAGTTCCATTTCCTTGTGAAAAGTTAAATATGAGTTAGACAATTAGCTGACATTTCCTAAAAGACAACACTTTCAGGCAAGATTTTTTGTGTGTGTATGTTTCAGTCCTGGGGCTTTAATTCAGGACCTGGACATTGTCCCTTAACTTTTTCACTCAAAGATAGCTTTCTACCATTTGAGCCATAGCTTTACTTCCAGCTTTTTGGTGATTAATTGGAGTTAAGTCTCATGCACAGGCTGGCTTCTAGCCACAATCCTCAGATGTCAGCCTCCTGATTGAGCCACTGGCACCCAGCTTTTTTGTTTATTTTTTGTTTTTTTAATAAGAAATTGTAGTCATTGAACATAGCCATTTTCTGTTTCAAAACAAAATATCCAGGGAACGAGATATATAGCAGTAGTTGGATACAAATGAAATAAAAATCACAGATAAAATTAGACAGTTGCTGAAAGGCAGACCACTTGGTTTACCAAATTTAAAAAAAACCTGTTGATGTCAAAAGGATAAAACTCAGGCTCTAGTGGCTCACACCTATAATCCTAGCTACTCAGGAGGTTGAGATCTGTGGATCGTGGTTCCAAACCAGCTCCAGTAGAAAAGTTCCCATGAGACTCTCTCTAGTTAACCACCAGAAAATCGGAAGTGGTGCTGTGGCTCAAGTGGTAGAGTGCTAGCCTTGAGGCCCAGCGTTCAAGCCCTACAACCAACCAAAAAAATACACTTCGTAACTGGAAAAACAAGTTCGAAGTTTCTTGTGGCTATTAGTGTACAAATTTGGAACTTAGGGCATGGCTTAATTGATACATTGCCTACCTAGCAAGCTCAGACAAACCTTAGTACCATGAAAAAACAAAATAAGAAAACCTAGAAATAAAACATCAAAAAACTTCCTTTAATATTAATGTGCAGGCCTTTTCATAGTCTGCAGTCTTTTTTTTTTTTTTTTCTTTTTGGTGTCTGTCCTAGACCTTGACCTCAGAGCCTGGGCACTGTCGCTTAGCTTTTGTTTTGCTCAAGGTTAGAGTTTCTCCCACAGCCCCATTTACAGCTTTTTTTTTGGTAGTTTATTGGAGATAATATCATGTATTTAGTTCTGCCCAGGCTGTCTTTGAATCACAGCCTTCAGATCTTAACCTCTTGAGTAGAGCTAGGAGTACAGGCATAAGCCTCTGGTTTGGTTTTCTTTTTTTTTTTTTTCCTGCCATTCCTGGGCTTGAATTCAGGGCCTGGACATTGTCCCTGAGCCTCTCTGTGCTCAAGGCTAGCACTCTACCACTTGATACACAGCACCAATTCTGGCTTTTTCCATTTATGTGGTACTAAGGAATCAAACCAGGGTTTCATGAATACTAGGCAAGCACTCTACTACTAAGCCACATTCTCAGCCCCAAGCTGGTTTTTGTCTGCAGTCTTTTTTTTTTTTTGTCAGTCATGGGGCCTGAACTCGGGGCCTGGGCACTATCCCTCAGCTTTTCAGCTCAAGAATAGTGCTCTATCACTTGAGCCACAGCGCCACTTCCAGATTTTTTTGCTTATGTGTATTGAGGAATCAAACCCAGGGCCTCATGCATGCAAGGCAAGCACTCTGCCACTGAGCCACCTTCCCAGCCCCATGTCTGCAGTCTTATATTCCTGCTGATGAATGGAACTAATACAGTCATTAGTTTCTGATTCAAAATGTTTGTTTGGCTTATAAGTCGTTACTTTTATTTTCATTTTTTAAAATCGTGTTTTTGTGGTGCTGTGGTAAACTCAGGGCTTTGTCATGCTAGGCTAATGTTCTGCCACTGAGTTATACCCCCAGTCCTATAATTTTATGTTAATATAGAAAAGTTGACAGGCCCGGTCCCAGGGGGCTTATGCCTATAATCCTAGCTACTCAGGAGGCTGATATCTGAGGATGGAGGTTGAAGTTCAAGCCAGCCTGTTCAGGAAAATCCAAGATATTCTTATCTCAGCCATCAAAAAGCTAGAAGTGTATGTGGGCTCAAGTGCTAGAGCACCAGCCTTGAGCAAAAGAGCTAAGGGCAGTGCCAAGGCCATGAGTTCAAGGCCTCCCCCTCCCAACCATACCAGTACAAAAAAAAGTTGACAATTTCTTTATATGAGATACTGATCTTAGGAAATCAGGGAATAAAAATGAATTATGTTTACAATTTTCTTAGAATGTATATTAGATACATTAAGTTTTTGTTACATTTTAATTTTGAGTTTCCTTTTATTTATATAGGTTAACGAACTTTCTGAGGAAGAAGATGAAAAGCTGGAACATATAGAAGAACTTCCAGAAGAGGGTGTAGAAAAATCAAATGACATGCCAGAAGTGGTACAATTAAGGATGACTGAAAATATCCTGGAAGCAAATAGTGTTACACCATCAACAAGGTAAATATTTGGGTTGGATGAACTTTAGAATTAGAGCATGTCATTTTAGATGTAGAGTATTGTAAACACTAAACCCAAATTATAACTATGTGAAAGATTGCTATATATATATATATATTTTTTTTTTTTACTGTGATGAAGTGATTATATAAATTTCACAAATTCCACAGTATTGTGAGTTAGTGATACTTAGTTAAAGTCACAAACACATTTTAACCTTCATGGGGTAAATTGTCTTTATCATGGTCTATAAAGTTTGTGAATTCTTTTTTTTTGGGTCCGGTCTTGGGGTCTGAACTCTGGGCTTGGGCACTGCCCCTCAGCTCTTCAGCTCAAGACTAGCGCTCTACCACTTGAACCACAGCGCCACTTCCGGCTTTTTTCTTTTTGCTTATGTGTTGCTGAGGAATCGAATCCAGGGCCTCGAGCATGCAAGGCAAGCACTCTACCACTGAGCCACCTTCCCAGCCCAAAGTTTGTGAATTCTGTGAGCTTTGACAATACAATTATTTCTTCCACATCGGTGATAGGTACATTTCTTTCCTTTTGCTTAGTGTCAGCTGTTCCCATTTTCCTGCTCATTCCCTCCCTCCCATTGCTACCATTGAGTTGCTTATTTCATTTTGATCAATGGCCAATGCAGCTGAAGGTCCCCCTGTTGTATGTTTTCCCCTGTTTCTGTGACCTTTTCCTAGTTTCCCTCTGATGTGCATATATATATATATATATATATATATATATACTATGTATGTGGTCAGCAGCATAGGGTAATGATATGACCAGAGGTCCTTTGTTTCTCAAGTCTTATTTACTTTGTCGTATCTTCTTACATTTTGGATTTAATATCCATATATCAGGGAGACCATGTGCTGTTTGTCTCTTTGTTCTTGGCTTACCTCACTCAACATGATTTTTTTTGGTTCCATCCATTCCTGCGAATGCCATTATTTCTAATGGCTGCATAATATTCTAGTGTATATAGGTACCACAATTTTTGGATCCATTCATCTGTAGTGGGGCATCTGGGTTGTTTCCATGTCTTGGCTATTGTAAATAGTGCTGCAATGAACATGGAGGTGCATGTGACCTTGTATCCAGGTAAATATTTGGGTTGGATGAACTTTAGAATTAGAGCATATTATTTTAGATGTAGAGTATCTTAAACACTAAACCCAAATTATAACTAAGTGAAAGATTGATATTTGAGTATGAAAAAGAGCAAGAAGAAAATTTAAAGCAGCAACCTTGATAGAGAATATTCAGTTACCACTTTTACCTTTATTTAAATATAGGTATCTCCAGCCAGGTGCCAGTGGCTCATGTCACTGAGAACAGAGAGGGTAAGATCTGAGGATCACAGGTTGAAGCCAGTTCAGGCAGGAAAGTTTGTGAGAATCTTACCTGAAATTAAACCCCAAAAAGCCACAAGTTTAGCCACATATGGTTCAAGTAAAAGAGCACTAGGCTTGAGCAAAAAAGCAAAGGATCAGCTCAGTCCCTGACAAGCCCCAGTACTAGTTATCCATATATGTGCATGCATGTATATGCACATACACACGTGCATGCATGAAATCTAAGGTACTGGTGCCTCATACCCATAATCCTAGCTGCTCAGGAGGTTGAAGTATGAGAACCATGGTTCAAAGCCAGCCTGGGCAGAAAAGTCCATTGATCTGGAAGTGAAACAGTGACTTAAGTGGTGGAACACTAGCCTTGAGCAAAAAAACTTAAGGATTGGCACCTATGCCCAGAGTTTAAGCCCCAGGACCAGTAGGTACATGCCCGCAAAAATAGTAACTAATGAGCTGGGAAGGTGGCTCAGTGGTAAAGTGCTTTCCTTGCATGCATGAGGCCCTGGACTCGATTCCTCAGCACCACATAAGCAGAAAAAGCCGGAAATGGCACTGTGGCTCAAATGGTAGAGCGCTAGCCTTTAGCTGAATTGCTGAGAGACGGCGTCCAGGCCCAGAGTTCAGGCCCCACGACTGACCAAAAAAACCCCAAAACAAATAGTAGCTGGTTACTGAAACTTAAAATATAAGCAAGAGATTTTTGGAGCAAAATATCAGAGAATGATCCTAGTTGACATTAAAACTCATTCGGGAAAGTTTCATTTTTCTTTTTGGTATTTTATTGGATAAGTGCCTAAATATGTATTTTATTTTATTTTTTTTGGGTCCGGTTGTGGGGCCTGAACTCTGGGCCTGGGTGCTGTCCCTCAGCTCTTCAGCGCAAGGCTAGCAATCTACCACTTGAGCCACAGTGCCACTTCTGGCTTTTTTCTTTTTGCTTATGTGGTGCTGAGGAATCGAACCCAGGGCCTCAGGCATGCAAGGCAAGCACTCTACCACTGAGCCACCTTCCCAGCCCAAGTACCTAAATATTTAAACTAATTTGTATGACACTACTAGAAAAAGACTGATGGCAGCCATATTCTGGTGGCTCACACCAATAAGCCTACCTACTCAGGAGGCTGAGATCTTTTTTGCTGAAAGCTAGTGCTCTACCACCTGAACCACAACTCCACTTCTGGCTTTTTTTTTTTTTTAATCAGTTTATTTGTTTTTTCTTTATTTTGCCAATCCTAGGGCTGGAACTCAGGGTCTGGGAACTGTCCCTGAGCCACAGCTCCACTTCCAGCTTCTTGTTTATCTGGCACAGAGGAATAGAACCTAGAGCTTCGTGTATACTAGGCAAGCACTCTACCATTAGGCCACATTCGCAGCCCCACTTCTGGCTTTTTGATGGTTAATGTAGATAAGTCTCACAGACTTTTCCTGTCTGTGCTGGCTTTGAACTGCAATCCTCAGGTCTCAGCCTCCTAGGATTAAAGGCATGAGTCATCAACACCTGGCTGCAACTTTATTAATTATAAGGATCTTGGGAACCAGCCGCCAGTGGCTCACGCCTGTAATCCTAGATACTCAGGATGCTGAGATCTGAGGTTTGCAGTTCAAAACCAGCCCAGACAGGAAAGTCCGTGAAACTCTTGTCTCCATCAAACCATCAGAAAACCGGAAGTGGCACTGTGGCTCAAGTGGTAGAGCATTCACTTTAAGCTGAAGAGCTGAAGGACAGCACTCAGAGTTCAAGCCCCATGACCACGGGTTGGGCAGGGGGTGGGAGGGTAGGGGGGAGTGTCTTGGGATCACCAACCCGGGGTTGTGTGCATTTGGGCAATTTAACATCTTTGCATTTGTTTGTTAGAAAGGGGAAATAGTATAACTTTTTAGATCAAGAACTTTTTTTTAATGTATGTTTTTTATTGTAAAAATACTGTACAGAGGAGTTATAGTTACATGAGTAAGGTAATGAATACATTTCCTGTCCAGCCTTGTTACCTTCTCCTTCATTTTTCCCCTACCATCCCTTCCCTCTCCACCTCCCCAACTCCTCCCTCTCTGCCCCCAAAGTTGTAAAGTTTGTTTCAACATAGTGTCTTATATATCTCATTGTTACAATGGGTCAACGTGCGTGTATCCTTATTTAAGCATTTTGTTATTTCTCTTCCCTTCCCCAATTTATAAAAATGTATGTACAAGATACAGGGCACCAGAATAGAAAACAGGGGTTAAACTGTGGCGGAAGAATATAAAAAGGAACAGAAAAATCACGTAGTACATTATAAATATGTTAAAAACAATAGCGAGAAAGAAAAAATATTTGTGTCCCTATCTTGAGGTTCATTTCATGTAACATCATCTTATTGTCATATGTACAACAGAACTTTTAAATGAAATAATTGCATATCAAACTTTAGCTCATAATAAATATTCAATAAATACTTCTACAATTATGTTTTTTTTTGTCGGTCATGGGGCTTGAACTCTGGGCCTGGACGCTGTCCCTGAACTCTTCAGCTCAAAGCCAGCACTCTACCACTTGAGCCACAGCGCCACTTCCAGGTTTTTCTGCTTATGTGGTGCTGATGAATTGAACCCAGGGCCTCATGCATGTAAGGCAAGCACTCTACCACTGAGCCACCTTCCCAGCCCATACTTCTACAATTATGATCTTATTTAATTACATCAATTTTCTTAAGGCTGGACATAACTCAAGTGGAAGATTACCCCAGTATTGCCAACAAAAGAAAGATGAAAAAAGTCTTTTGCATGCCTGTGGCCCTGGGTTCGATTCCTCAGCACCACATAAGCAGAAAAAAAACCCGAAGTGGCGCTGTGGCTCAAGTGGTAGAGTGCTAGCCTTGAGCTGAAGACCTGAGGGACAGCGCCCAGGCCCAGAGTTCACGCCCATAAGTATTTGCAAATCAAATTTTTTTGTTTATATTTGAAACTTTTAACAAGTTTCAGAGAATATTTCCAACCTGATATTTAACTGAAAACCTTAAAATTAGTGCCCTCTCCTGGTTATATAGCAAGACAATACAAAGTTTGTCAGTTTCTCAGCACATTTTGTAGTAATTTAATATTGAAACATTTCATAGCTAATTTCTTTGATTTCAGTGCCCAAATATCTCCTGCCAGCATCTTACCAGCCTCTGCAGAGTAAGTAGTATATATATATATAGAAAACAAACCTAGAAATTTAAAAATATTACTAAGCTGTAAAAATACGAATTTATTGTGCTCATTTGAGAGGAAAGTGTATATAGATATTAAACTAGTTATGTATTATAATAGGAACATGTGAAACTTTCCACTAATACATGTGGTGAAGATGAGTTTTCCTTTTTTTTTCTCCTTTGGCAGTACTGGGGATTAAACTCAGAGCATTACAGTTTACAATTTGAGCCTCACTTTTATCCTGTATTTGCATTGCTTATTTTTCAGGTAGTCTCACTTTGTGCTTGAGGCAGCCTGGGTTCCTACTTGTGTTCTTCCTGTAGCTGGGATAACAAGAGTGGGAACCACTGGGCTCAGCCATTGATTAGAAGGAGTCTTGAGCTTGTATGCTCCTGCTACATTATATTGCAATACTTATCTCCCTATCCAACTAGCAAGGATCTCAGGTTTGAGATACCATAGTGATAGTGGCTACTTCTGCTTTTCCTTCTTCTTCGTCCTTGTCTTCATTTTGTTGTCTTCCTTGTGTGTCCCAGACTAACTGCAAACTTGTGATCTTCTGATTCAGCTTCCTTCTGGGAATATAGACATCCACTACCATGCACAGCTTCAGATGAGTTTTCTTTTCTTTGTGTTTTGTTTTTTTTTGGGTCCAGTCGTGGGGCTTGAACTCTGGGCCAAGGTGCTGTTCCTCAGCTCTTCAGCTCAAGGCTAACGCTCTACCACTTGAGCCACAGCACCACTTGCGGCTTTTTTCTTTTTGCTTATGTGGTGCTGAGGAATCGAACCCAGGGCCTCAGGCATCCAAGGCTCTACCACTGAGCCACCTTCCCAGCCCCAGATGAGTTTTCTTCAGATAATATTTTAGATCCTAGTTATACACTGGTGACACGGAGGTAATCCTAGCTACTCAGGAGGCTAAGATCTGAGGATTGTGGTTCAAAGCCAGCCCAGGCTGGAAAATCCCTGAGACACTTATCTCCATTTAACTACCAAAAAGTCAGAAGTAGAGCTGTGGCTCAAGTGGTAGAGCATTGTTTTGAGTTCAAAACCTAAGGAACAGTCCCCAGGCCCTGAGTTCAAGCCCCAGTGCTGGCACAAAACAAAACTTTCTCCTAAAATAGTATCCTTTGAAGTAATTGAAAAAATGTTGATATATCCTGATATATTGATAAATATTGAATATTCTGGCTGGGTGCTGGTGGCTTATGCCTATAATTCTAGCTACTCAAGGCTGAGATCTGAGGATTGGAGTTCTAAGCCAGCTTGCAGGAAAGTCAGTGAGACTTTAAGCAGTAAAAAAGCTGAAAGTGGAGCTGTGGCTCAAGTGGTAGAGTGCTAGCCTTGAGCAAAAATGTTCGCAGATAGTGCCCAGGCCCTTCAGCTCAAGCCCCAGGACCAGTATAAAACAAAAACTAAACAATAAAAAAAGTAAAAGGAATATTCTTAGAGTGTATATAGGTGAGTGTTCATAATCTTTTATTTTTATTTTTATTTTTTTTTGGGTTCGGTCTTGGGGCCTGAACTCTGGGCCTGGGTGGTGTCCCTCAGCTCTTTTGCTCAAGGCTAGCGCTCTACCACTTGAGCCATAGTGCCATTTCTGGCTTTTTTCTTTTTGCTTATGTGGTGCTGGGGAATTGAACCCAGGGCCTCAAGCATGCAAGGCAAGCGCTCTACCACTGAGCCACCTTCCCAGCCCCATATTTTTTTTTTTTAAACTCAGTATCTGATGCTTACTTTTTGTTCATTGGCTAGTGCTCTGTGTTTGGAGCCAAGCCTCCAAACCCATATACTTAGCTTTGAAAGAAATCCCCCCCTCCCCTTTCTCTTTTGTGTGTGCTAGTCCTGGGCACAAAGAGGGAAAGGGGAAGAATGGGGAGAGAGGGAGACACACACAAGCACATGTAGTGAGAAATTATTAGGAAAACTGGTCCTTTTCTCTCCAGCAACATTATATATAGTTGATTTGTGTAGAATCATGTATTTGGACAAATTTCACTTAATTTTATTATTTATTTTTTGTTCTGGTCCTGGGTCTTGAACTCATGTCCTGGGCACTGTCCCTGAGCTTTTTTGCTCAAGACTAGCCTCTACGACTTGATCTACAGCTCCATTTCTGGCCTTTAGGTGGTTTATTGGCGATCAGAGTCTCACAGACTTTCCTGCCTAGGTTGGCTTTGAATCATGATCCTCAGATCTCAGCATTCTGAGTAGCTAGGATTACCGTCATAAGCCTCTAGTGCTCCAGTGTCCCACTTGTTCCTTTTTGTTTTGTTTTTTGTTCTTTGAGTTATCATTCAAATGCCATAATTGTCATAGGATTTAACATTTAAGTTTATGTGACTGATGCCCAGTTAAGCCAACTCACTGACGTGTCCTATTTGCAGAATTTTAGAAAGAAAAATTAGAGTAGCCACATTTTTTATCTGTAGGGCAGTTATAGATTATGATTTTAAGAATTTACAACAACTAAATCTGGTGTGTAATAATGAAGCAGGGAGTACTAAGAGTGATGAGGAAAGACCTAATAGCCAGTAAGAACTATTTTGACATTATTTAAGTTATATAATTGTTACTCTAAAAATATTTTTTCTTAAATAACTGGGTCTTTTCTCGGGGATTTCTTTTTTTTTGTCAGTTGTGGAGCTTGAACTCTGGGCCTGGGTGCTGTCCCTCAGCTCTTCAGCTCAAGGCTAGTGCTCTACCATTTGAGTCATAGCGCCACTTCCAGCTTTTTCTGTTTATGTGGTGCTGAGGAATCGAACTCAGGGCCTCATGCATGCGAGGCAAGCACTCTGCCACTGGGCCACTTTCCCAGCCCCTTCTTGGGGATTTCTGCATATCAGATCCTCACCAGACTTTCCCCCTACCCTTGTTTCAAACTCATAGCCTCTTGTTTGTTTGGATGCTGCTCTACCTCTAGAGTCATACCTCCAGCCTTGCTTTTTTGTTGGCTGTTTTGGAGATGTAGTTTTATGGACTCTTCTGCCTGGGATGGCCTTAACTATAACCTTGCAATCCCTCTGTATCTCAGCCTCCTAAGTAGCAAGGATTATAGGCATGGGCTCTCAGGGTCCAGCCTTAAATTTTACGCTCTTAGTTAACATTGAAAATACCATTTCTCAAACCGGGTGCTAGTGGCTCATGCCTGTAATCCTAGCTACTCAGGAGGCTGAGATCTGAGGGTCGTGGTTCAAAGCCAGCCGGGTCAGGAAAGTCTGTGAAACTCTTATCTCCAATAAACCACTAGAAAACTGCAAGTGGCTCTGTGGCCCAAGTGGTAGAGTGCTTGCCTTGACCTGAAGAGCTGAGGGACAGCGCCAGGTCCAGAGTTCAAGCCCCATGATGAAAAAAGAAAAGGTCATTTCTCACCCATAAAATATCATATTATTAAGTCCAGCATAGCCAGGTTTTGTTTCTTGAACATGAGTTGAAGCAGTGAGCTTGTCCTTTTAAAATTTTTTTAATTTTTAATTTTTTGTTTTGGTTTCGGTCCGTAGGCTTGAGCTTAGAGCCCAGTTATGGTCCTTAGCTTTTTCACTCAAGGCTGGTGCCCTGCCACTTGAACCACAGCTTCATTTTCCGATTTTTGGTGGATAATTGGAGAAAAGAATCTCAGAGTTTCCTATCTGGGCTGGCTTTGAACCTCGATCCTCAGATCTCATGCTGGGTAGCTATGATTATAGGTGTGAGCCATTCGTCATTAAAGGAACTTGTCATGAAAGGAACTATGTTATATGAAAAATAACTTCAAAACATGCTCAAATTAATCAGAGTGCCTGTGTCTCATGCCCCTAACTAATCGGGCTGAGATGTGAGGATCATGTTTTGAAATCAGCCAGGCAGAAAAGTCTGTGAGACTTTTTTGGCTTTTGGTCAGTGATGGGGCTGGAACTTAGGGCCTGGGTGCTATCCCTTCAGTTTTGCCCTCAAGGCTAGTGTTCTACCACTTTAAGCCACAGCATCACTTCCAGTTTTCTGGTGGTTAATTGGGAAATAAGAGTTTTCATGGGGGCTGGGAAGGTGGCTCAGTGGTAGAGCGCTTGCCTTGCATGTGTGAGGCCCTGGGTTTGATTCCTCAGCACCACATAAGCAAAAAGAAAAAAGCCAGAAGTGGTGCTGTGGCTCAAGTGGTAGAGCATTAGCCTTGAGCTGAAGAGCTGAGGGACAGTGCCCAGGCCCAGGCCCAGAGTTCAGGCCCCACGACCAGACCGCCCCAAAAAAAAAAAGTTTGCATGGACTTTCCTGCCCTGGCTGGCTTTGAACCACAATCCTTAGATCTCAGCCTCCTGAGTAGCTAGGATTATAGGAGTAAGCCACTAGCACCTGGCTCAGAAACACTAAATTGACATAGTCCTATTTGTCAATTCTTTCTCTGTGTAGTCCTCTGTGCATCTAAAACCCTATTCGGCAGACATTGACCTGTGACCTGTAGTATACTTAAAAGTTCTTCCTTTGACCTATTTGGTGTAATTGGAGTTCATTTTCATACAGGATGAGAGATATAGTTATACTTTCTGTCTCCTGCAGATCCCTTAGTACTATTTGTTGATGTGGCTGTCTTTTCGCCATTGTTTTTTTGTTTTTGTTTTGTCAGTCGTGGGGCTTGAACTCAGGGCCTGGGCGCTGCCCCTCAGCTCTTCAGCTCAAGGCAAGTGCTCTACCACTTGAGCCCCAGAGCCACTTCCGTTTTCTGCTGATTAATTGGTGTCTCATGGACTTTTCTGCCTGGGCTGGCTTTGAACCACGATTCTCAGATCTCAGCCTCCTGAGTAGCAGGATTACAGGCGTGAGCCACCAATGCCAGGCTGTATTTTTAATTAATTTATTTTTTTGCCAGTTCTGGGGCTTGAACTCAGCCTGGGCACTGTCCCTGAGCTGCTTCTGCTCAAGGCTAGTCCTCTAACCACTTGAGCCACAGTGCCATTTCCAGCCTTTTCTGTTTATGTGTTACTAAGAAATTGATCCTGGGACTGTATGCATGCCAGGCAAGCAGTCTACTACTAAGCCACATTCCCAGCCCCCTCCATTGTATGTTCTTGACTTTGTAAAAAATAAGTTCACTGTAGATGTGTGGTTTTATTCTTGGATCTATTACACTGTGCCATTGGTCTTCAGGTCTCTCTTTGTGCCAGTACCAAATTGTTTCGTTACTGTGGTACTATAATATAATTTGAAGTCTGGTATTAGATACTTCCAGTGGTGCTGTTTTTACTTAGAATTACTTTTGCTATTTGGAGTCTCTTTTGCCTTCCAATTTACTTTTGGCTTTATTTCTGTAATTCCGTGAGGAATTATGTTGAGATTTTGCTGAGTATTGCATTGAATTTGTACTTTGTATTTGGCAATATGATCATTTTTACAATATTTTGCTAATCTTCTGAAGATGCTTATGAAAATTTTTACAAGATCTCTTACAATATCCCCAGTAGACAAAAAATAGCAGATTTTACAATCTAACAGCATACATAAATGATGGATTTCTGTAGTTATAGACAGTGCATATAACTAATTCTTACACTTGGGACACTGAGGCCAGAAGATAATAGTTTTACAATAGCTGGATCTCTATAGTAAGACCCTGACTTTTTTTTTTTGCCAGTCCTGGGGCTGAGTCTTTTTGTGCTCAAGGGATAGCACTCTACCACGTGAGCTACAGTACCACTTTTGGCTTTTTCTGTTTATATGGTACTGAGGAATTGAACCCAGGGCTTCATGAATGCTAGGCAAGCACTCTACCACTAAGCCACATTCCCAGCCTAAGACCCTGTCTTAAATAAAAGTTTCTTTTTTTTGGGGTCCGGTTGTGGAGCCTGAACTCTGGACCTGGGCGCTATCCCACAGCTCTTCAGCTCAAGGCTAGCACTCTACCACTTGAGCCACAGCGCCACTTCCGGCTTTTTTCTTTTTGCTTATGTGGAGCTGAGGAATCGAACCCAGGGCCTCATGCATGCAAGGCAAGCACTCTACCACTGAGCCACCTTCCCAACCCCTTAAATAAAAGTTTCTGAGTGCTGACGACTCATGTTTGTTATTCTAGCAACTCAGAAAGCTGAGATCTAAGGATTACAGTTAAAAGTTAGATGGGCAAGAAAGTCCATGCAACTCCTCTCTAGTGTTAGCACTTGGATAGTAGAGTGCTTTCCCTGAGCAAAAAAGCTCAGCAGCAGTGCCCAGGCCCTGAGCTTAAGCCCTAATACTGGCATGCACACACACAAAAGTAAAACCAACAACAGTATAAGTGTTTTGATCATCATTGATGTTTATTTTAGAGGCACTATGTATTTGTCACTTGGCCTCATTTTTTCTTTTTACTTTTCTTTATTAGGGTTGATATTGCTGATGATGTTATTAATGCCAGTGATAGTAATAGAGACTGTTCAGAACCTGTGGCTGGCAGTAACTTAGAAAATGAAGTTATGCAGCAAGATTTTGTATTTGAAGATCAAGAAAATAACCAGGTAAGAAGTGTTGAAAAAAAGAAACAACTCTGGTGTGCTAGAAGTACACCTCTTGATTGTTTTGTGTGTCCCTTTGATAGCAGAAGTAACAGTATTTACATTCCTCACTTATAAGTCCTCCAAAATTCTCATTCTCTGTTAGAATTTGGTTTTCAACCCACCCACCATTGGTTAAAAAAAAGGTAGGTGAAAAAGCCTTTCTCTTCTTTCAAAAATATTAAAACAATTATTGGAAAGAAAATGTGATGTTAGCTGAGATTGCTAGCTTGTAATTGTGGTTGAATTTTGTTATTATTCAAAGCTTTCCTGTAATTCTTACTTTTTCTTAGTTGAGGTTGACCCCTGTAGCAAAAGACAGATTTAACAAGAGAAAACAAACCTGAATCTTAATAATATATATACCTCATATACACATAGGAAGTAGGTGAAACAGTAAAGTTGTGACAGTCATTGTGGCTTAAAATAATCAAATTCCTCTGAAATAAAGAAGAGTGTGAGGGAGTACCAGTTACAAAGAGATAACCAGGAGGAAGACCTTAAACAAACGTAATAGTGATAGTTTGTAGTGATTCTCCTTGGTAGAGAAGATAAACTTAGAAATGAAAATTTCTATTATAGATGAAAATTCCTTTTACACAAAAGGTAATATAGTTGGATGCTGGTGGCTCATGCTTGTAATCCTAACTACTCAGAAGGCTGAGATCTGAGGATTACAGTTCAAAGCCAGTGTGGGCAGGAAAGTCTGTGAGACTTTTCTCTCCAATTAACTACCAGAAAATTGGAAGTGGCGCTGTGGCTCCAGTGGTAGAGCACTAGCCTTGAGCTGAAGAGTTCAGGGATAGCGCCCAGGCCCAGAGTTCAAGCCCCACGACCGACCAAAAAAAAAAAAAAATGTGTATTACTGATTCCCATATTTGAATTTCCAGTTAACCTTTCTTGGAACCAAAGTTCTGTCTAGCTGTTCCATCCTACATTTCCACTGAAATACTTTACAAGCATCTATAATGAGAGAAAGATTTCTTTCCTTGCTAATTATTTGATTTATACCTGAGACACTCATAACAAAGGATCTATAAACAAGAGGAAAACATATACCTTTTTTTTTTTTTTTTTGGTCATGGGACTTGAACTTGGGGCCTGGGTACTGTCCTTGAGCTTTTATGCTCAAGGCTAGTGCTCTGCCACTTTGAGCTATAGCTCTACTTCATTTCCTGGTAGTTAATTGGAGATAAGTATCACTGTCCTACAATACTGTGAAATTTGTGAAACTTATGTAATCACTTAATCTCAACAAAAAAAATATTAAAAAAAAAATCTCACAGACCTCTCTGTCTAGGCTATCTTTGAACCATGCTCCTCAGACTGTGCTGTTTTTTAGACTGTGTGAAATGTCTCCAAACTAGATCTCTTCCCTTACATGAATTTCAGTCTCTTCATTAGGTTGTATGTATGCACACACGTGTGTGCTACTACTGAGGCTTCGACTCAGAGCCTGGGCACTGTCCCTGAGCTTTAATGCTTACAAACACAATCACAAACACATTTTAACCTGCACAAAGTAAATTGTCATTATCTTGGTTTATAAAGTTTGTGAATTCTATAAGCTTTGACAAGACAACTATTTCTTGTGGTCTGTGAGATTCTTATCTCCAATAAATTACTCAGAAAAAGCTGGAAGTGGTGTTGTGGCTCAAGTGATAGAGCACTAGGCTTGAACAAAAGAAGCTCAGGAACAGGGCTTAGACCCTGAGTTCAAGCTTCAAGGACTGGCCCCCAAAAACCCAGCATGGGTCAGAAGTAGTGATACCTGTAGATGATCTCAGCCTACTGAGGCAAGAGGATCAGAAGTTTAAGGACAGTCTGTATGAGGTCCTTTCTCAAAAATAAAAATGGTCTAGAGATGCAGCTTTTGAGCGTTTGACCCTAGGAATCCTGAGTGATAGTTGTAATTGAGATTCTAAAATACTGAGATCCTGCCTGTCCCTGTGCATCCCCTGGGTACACTTCCTTACCTGATACTGGATAGCTTTCCTGATTAACTGTTATTGAGGCCATATAACCTGTGGCTTATTGGTAGAGTACTTGCCTAGCATGCATAAAGCCCCTGAGTTCGATTCCTCAGTATCATATAAACAGAAAAAGCAAGAAGTGGCACTGTGGCTCAAGCTGTAGAGGGCTAGCCTGGACCAGAAGAAGCTCAGGGACAATGTCCAGGCCCCAGGATTGGAACAACAACAACAAAAAAGAGCTGGCCAGGTATCAATAGCTCATGTCTGTAATCTTAGCTACTCAGGTGGCTGAGATCTGAGGACGGTTCTAAGACAGCTTTGGCAGGAAGTCCATGAGATTGTAATCTCCAGTTAATCCCCCGAAAACTGGAAATGGTGCTGTGGCTCAAAATGGTAGAGCTCTACCCTTGAGCGAATGGAAAAAACAAAATGGAGCTAGGAGTCAAATATGCAGAAAAGAAATAGGTAAGAATAAAGTTAAAATTTTATGTGTATAGTCTCTAGTGAAGTTACAAATTAGTATGGTGGCCTTTTTCTTTGCCTCACTATTGAATTAAACAATAGACAGGTGCTGATGGCTCACTCTTGTAATCCTAGCATCTGAGATCTGAGGATGGCAGTTTGAAGCCAGCCCAGGCAGGAAAGCAGGTGAGACTCTTGTCTCCAGTTGTACCAAAAAGCTGAAAGTAGAGCTGTGGCTCAAGTGGTAAATTTTGTATTTTTGTTTTTTTTTTTGGTCGGTTGTGGGGCTTGAACTCTGGGCTTGGGTGCTGTCCTTGTGTCTTCAGCTCAAGGTGAGCGCCCTACCATTTGAGCCACAGCGCCACTTCCGGTTTTCTGAGTGGTTTATTGGAGATAAGAGTATCACGGACTTTCCTGCCCTGGCTGGCTTTGAACCATGAGCCTCAGATCTCAGCCTCCTGAGTAGCTAGGATTATAGGCGTGAGCCACTGGTGCCTGGCTTAAAGCACCAGTTTTTAAAATCTAGGACTATATCCTAAGGACAGATCAGAGCTGTTCACAGATTTGTCTTTGGAGATTTATTTTCATTGGGGATTTATTTGCAGGAGCGAATAAAAAGAGACATTAAAAAATCTTCAAAAACTAGGAATGGACAATTCCAACAATTGTTGAGTTACTGAAAATTGTTTTGAGGGCTTAATAGTCATGTAATATTACATTGAGAAAGAATACAAGTGTAGTTTACCAGAACTAATATAGTCCCCATTATGTGTGTAAGAAATGTAACAAAATATTTGAAGTGGCCTGCTGATAGAATTATGGATAGTTTTTTTTCATTTTTTTGTTTTTATTTTTTTGGTGCTGGTAATGCAATTTGAACTCAAGGCTGTGGTGCTTTCCCTGGGCTTTTATGCTCAAGGCTAGCACTTTACCATTTGAGCCACAGCTCCACTTCTGGCTTTTTTGGTAGTTAATTAGAGATAAGACTCTCTTGTACTTTCCTGCCCAGGCTGGCTTCAAACCATGATCCTCACTCAGATCATAGCCTCCTAGAAGTGGAACTGTAGCTCAATTGGTAGAGCACTAGATTTGAGCCCAAAAGCTCAGAGATAGGGCCCAGGCACTATGTTCAAGCCATAGTAGTAGTGTACACATATGCACACACATGTACACACACAGGCACATAGGCATACACAAAATCCCTGCCTCCTTCCTGAGTAGCTAGTATGACAGGTGTGAGTCACCAGTGCCTGGCTATAGAAAGATTTTTTTATTTTTAGATTTTTGCCAGTTTCTGCTTTTAATCAGTCTTAGCATGATAGTTTAATTCCAACTAAAGAGAATTTAATGCATTTAATGATGATGTATTTAGTGTTCTTGAACTACAGTTACACAGAGGTTGTTGATTAGCAGCTATAAAATTTATCTTGGGATTCTTTAGTGATTAAATACTTGAGGCTGGAATAACAGTGGTAGAGTATATGTTTAAGCATACATGGGTTCAATCTCCAACATTAATTTTTGTGTGTGCATGCTAATCTTGAACCTGGGGCTTGGCACTGTCCTTAGTTGTTTTTTTTTTCTGCTCAAGGCTAGTGTTCTACTACTATTTGAGCCACAGCACTTATGCTTTGTTTTTTTTTTTTCTCATGGGTTTTCCTGCCTGAGCTGGCTTTGAACTGTGATCCATAGATTTCAACCTCCTGAGTATCTAGGATTACAGGGGTAAGGCCCTGTGCCTGGCTCCAACATGAATTTTAAAAATTGATTTTATTTTACTGAGTTCTTAAATTTGAGAAAATATTTAGATTCAGATAATAAAAGAAGGTGTGGCTCAAGTGGTAGAGTGCCAACCTTGAGTGAAAAGGCCAAGCACAGTACCTGAACACCCTCTCCCCCCCCAAAAAAAAAAGGGGAGAGGGTATAGATATAGATAAGAAAACACTAAATAAAGATATATAGAAAGTGTCTCCTCTCCCATCCATATCTATCTGTATTCCTCTTTCTTATGATACATGTAATAAACCTACAAAATGCTCACTGAATAGCCTTGTATTATACTATTCTTATCTTGTACAAGCATATATCTAAGGATAAATTTATAGAAATATTTTGGGCCATGGGTTCGTTGGCTTAATTCTGTAATCTTAGCTACTTGGGAGGCAGAGATTAGTGGATTACAGTTTCAGATCAGCCAGGGCAAAAAAGTTGGTGGAACTCCTTCTCATCTAGTGGCTGGATAAAGTGGAATGTTCCTGTTATTCCAGACAGAAGAAGCAAAAAGGCTGAGCAAAGTGGCCCAAGCCTGTCATCACCAGTGACAGTGGGAGGCATAAACAGAAGGATTGTAGTACAGAAGGCCCTAGCATAAAGGGCCAATATAAAATAACCAGTGCAGACAGGCTGGAGGTATAGAGTGCCTATCTAGTTTGAGGCCCTAAGTTACTAGCACCTCAAGGGAGCTGGGTAGAATTTGGGTTATAAAATATGTCTTTGCAGTTGTTATATACAGTAGACTCAGTATCTATGAGTAATGGTTCCAAGGAGACCACACACCACTGAATGAATATTCAGGATTATGGAGTCCAGTATTTTTTTTTATGAATGCTTAATTCATTTTTCTATAACATAACCACCTTCTACTCAAAGATATGCATCCTTTCAACAAATCTAAAACTTTCACTTTATCACTTCAAATAAGTATAGTGCTTGCTGGGGCTGGGAAGGTGGTTCAGTGGTAGAGTACTTGCCTTGCATGCATGAGGCCCTGGGTTCGATTCCTCAGTACCACTTAAGCAGAAAAAGCTGGAAGTGGTGCTGTAGCTCAAGTGGTAGAGTGCTAGCTTTGAGGTAAAGAGCGGAGGGACAGTACCCAGGCCCAGAGTTCAGGCGTCATGACTGACTGAAAAAAAAGGATAGTGTTTGGGCACCATTTGCTTTTTTTTTTTTTTTTTTTTGTCCTGGGGCTTGAACTCAGAGCCTGGGTACTGTCCCTCAGATCTTCAGTTCAAGGCTAACACTCTTATCACTTCAGCCACAGTATCACTTCTGGATTTTTCTGTTTATGTAGTGCTGAAGAATTGAACCCAGGGCCTCATGCATGAAAGGCAAGCACTCTACCACTGAGCCACCTTCCCAGCCCCCATCTGCTTTTTGATAGGCATATTTACACAAAATTAAGGATGGAGAAACAGTATATTACACAATTTAAACACAATTGGCACAGGATTGCTTGAATATTCCCTTAACAACTGAGCTGCTTAGTGGTTGTGTGTGAATTGTTGTATTTTTAATTTTTTGGGGGGGGCGGGGGGAGTCGGTCGTGGGGCTTAAACTCTGGGCCTGGGTGCTGTCTCTGAGCTCTTCAGCTCAAGGCTAGCAAGCTACCACTTGAGCCACAGCACTACTTCTGGCTTTCTGATGGTTTATTGAAGATAAAGGTCTCATAGACTTTCCTACCCAGGCTGGCTTTGAACCTCAATCCTCAGATCTCAGCCTCCTGAATAGCTAGGATTACAGGTGTGAGCCATTGGCACTTGGCTGTTTTTAAATTTTTATTGATTTTTTTTTTTTTTGGGTCCAGTCGTGGGGCCTGAACTCTGGGCCTGGGCACTGTCCCTCAGTTCTTCAGCTCAAGGCTAGTGCTCTACCACTTGAGTCACAGCACCACTTCCAGCTTTTTTTTTTTTTTTTTTTTTGCTTATGTGGTGCTGAGGAATTGAACCCAGGGCCTCATGCATGCAAGGCAAGCGCTCTACCACTGAGCCACCTTCCCAGCCCCTTTATTGATATTTTTGATTGCGTAAAAGTTAGTGCATAAAGGTGGGTTTACCTAATTATACTCCAATAAACTAAGTTTATACTCTATCAATATGTAGAAATGCCTATTTCACATAAGCTCTTGTCAGTAGCGGATTTTTTTTTTTTTTTAACTTGGTTAAATGAACCTTATAAATTTTGGGTTTCATTGTTGTTGACATCTTAGTAAAAATGCTGATTCCCCCCCCCCAATTGCCCATGTTATTCACATAGTTTTCTATTGAGTTATTGGGTTCCCCCGCCTTTTCTTAAAATTTTTTTTTATTGTTACTATAAAGGTGACATATAGAGAGGTTACAGTTACATAAGTCATAAACAATACTTTGTTTTTTTTTTGGTTGGTTATGGGGCTTGAACTCTGCGCCTGGGCACTGTCCATCAACTCTTCAGCTCAAGGCTAGTGTTCTACCACTGGAGCCACAATGCCACTTCTGGCTTTATCTGTTTATGTGGTGCTGAGGAATTGAACCCAGGGCCCCATGCATGTGAGTTACGCACTCTACCACTGAACCATCTTCCCAGCCCCAAGAATACATTTCTTTTTGGACAGTGTCACCTCTTCCCTTGTACTGTTTTTAATTTGAAGGTAATTTTTTATTGTTGTTGTCTGTCTGGGGCTTGAACTTGGCTTGGGCGCTGTCCCTGAGCTCTTCAGCTCAAGGCTAGCTAGCGCTCTACCACTTGAGCCACAGCGCCACTTCCGGTTTCTGGTTGTTAATTGGAGATGAGTCTCATGGATCTTCTTGCCCTGGCTGGCTTTGAACTGTAAACCTCAGATCTCAGCCTCCTGAGTAGCTAGGATTACAGGTGTGAGCCACCAGCGCCCAGCTGTAGTTACTTTTTGGGGGTGGGGTGAGGGGAGTTGTGTTACCCCTGGGGCTTTGAACTTAGGGCTTTAGTGCTATTCCTAAGCTTTTTTTTTTTTTCCCTCAAGGCTAATGCTCTACCACTGGAGCCATAGTTCTACTTTGTGAGAGAAGGATCTTACAGACTTTACTGTTCTGGCTGGCTTTGAACTATGATCCTCAGATCTCAGCCTCCTTGAATAGCAAGGATAATAGGTGCCTAGCTTGTAGGTACTTTTTATTAAGGAAATAATTACCTTTTGTAGTTATAAATATTCATTTTTAATTTTTTAATTTTTACTTTACTTTGTGAGAGAAGGATCTTACAGACTTTACTGTTCTGGCTGGCTTTGAACTATGATCCTCAGATCTCAGCCTCCTTGAATAGCAAGGATAATAGGTGCCTAGCTTGTAGGTACTTTTTATTAAGGAAATAATTACCTTTTGTAGTTATAAATATTCATTTTTAATTTTTTAATTTTTACTTTTTTGTTGGTCAAAGGGCCTGAACTCTCTGAGGGTGCTGTCCCTCAGCTATTGAGCTGAAGGCTAGCACTCTACCACTTGAGCCATAGTGCCACTTGCGGCTTTTTCTGCTTATTTGGTGCTGAGGAATCCAACCTATACGGCCTCCAGCATGCAAGGCAAGCAGTCTTACCACTGAGGCACCTTCCCAGCCCCTTAATTTATTTTTTGACCTTCTTAAATTAACTTTTGGCAAGGATGAATTTTATCAGTGTTCTCGGTTTTCTTTCTCTGATTTTAGATTTTTCATTTTAAATGTTTGTTTTTTCATAGTTAGAAAACTTTTCCTGCTTAAGATTTGGAGATAGGAGAATTCATGGTTTGAAGTCAGCCCTGGTTAAAAAAAAAGGTAGCTAGTATCTCAGAACAATTGGGGCATGGTGGTCCATGTTTATAATTCAGCTATGTAGGAAGTATAGGTAGGATCGTGAGGAAGACCAGGCTAGGCAAAAAGCTTGAAACCCTGAAAAAAATGTGAAGAAAAAACAAAAGGCAGGGATGCTTGGCTAACTTGGTAGTAGGGCACTATACACTTGCATAGTAAGCACATATAGTTCATAGTTCAAAAGCGAATACTGACAGAAAAAGACTCAAAAGGTTTTGTTTAATTTTAGTGATGGGATGATGATGGTGATATTTGTTAGTTGTGGGGCTTGAACTCTGGGCCTTGGTGCTGTCCCTGAGCTCTTCAGCTCAAGGCTAGCAATCTACCACTTGACCAACAGTGCCACTTCTGGTTTTCTGGTGGTTAATTGGAGATAAGAATTTCAAGGACCTTCCTGCCCAGGCTGGCTTTGAACCTCGGTTCTCATGTTCTCAGCCTCCTGAGTAGTAGCTAGGATTATAAGCATGAGCCACTGGTGCCTAGTTTAGAAATGATTATTAAAATCACAAATTTATGACGTTTTGGTAATACTTAGGGCATTTGTGTAGGAATTTGGAATTGTTTTAATTTATGGAGGAATTGGGATGAAATAGTATACTAAATTGATTGGAAATGGAGGGTTGCTCTCATGTACACAGGATCCTCATGTGAAAAACAATTTTTATGAACCCCTGTATGACTTTGGTCTCTCTCTCTTTCTGTACTTAGGTTTGAATTCAGGGACTTGAGCTATAGGAAGGTACTCTGTTTGAGCTGCCGGCTCTAGACTTTTTTCTTGCTAGAAATTCTTTTCATGGTTGAGGAGAAATAAAGCATACTTAGGCAAGCAGGATCAGAAGAGGGGGAAAAGGGGTTGGTTTTGACAGTATGTTTGAACTCAGGGTCTTGTGCTTATTTACTAGGTAGGCAAATGCTCTACCATACAGCTTTTTTTTTTTTTTTTTTTAGTTAGAGCTCATGGTTTTTGCCAGGGCTGTGTTTGGAACACAGTCTTTTTTACCTACATCTCCTCTGTATTTGGAATTAACAGATATATGTTACCACATTTGGCCTGTTGTTTTGAAATAGAGAATATATGAATATTGGGAGCTCCATTAATAAGGTTGTTGGTATTCTTTTTGTCAGTCTGTAGGTATAATGTTAGAGCCATGTAGTGACCATGGTGATAGTGAAGATGGCTATCTTGAGAGGTAAGCATTTCTCTTGTTGCTGATAAATCACTGAGAATTGGAAGCCCTTCACAGATTTTGGGATGAAAATTTAAGATAACTATATCCATTATAACATAGTTTTAAAAATCTAAAAATTTGAACTTATTGTTTTAATGGTGGATATAAAACATTAAATAGCCACAGATGTCCAGAGTTTCACAACTTCAGACAGACATTTGTCATAACTTGGAAAATAGTCAAAGAGAAGAACACACTTTCTTGGAGATATCTAAAACCTTGATTTTTAGAAAAATTGAAATTTATTGATATTATGAGTACATCAGTAAGTTCAATCTTTCAACTGACTAACCAAAAGAAGAGGATATTTATTTAATTAGGCATTTACAGGATTTTTCTCTCCCCTTTCCATTTGTCTTTGATAATGTCCCAATACAAGCTTAAGCATTTACCTCCCTGGCCATCTATAAGACAGGGAGGAAATGCCTCCTGTCTCAGGAACTAAGATTTCAATCAAATGTAAAATCTTCCTAGGTAAGTTTTCTGGAGTGATTTAAGTCACTAGTTAGGACTTAACCCTTGTAATTGTTGCCAAGAAATAAAACTTTCTTAGGAAAGATGATTTGATACTCTGAAAGCACTTAAGTTGATAAATATTGGTCAATAATACCATTATTAATTTGCTGATAGCTTGTTGGCCACTGTAAACTTGTGTTATAAAGAAAGCCATTGTCTCTTAGGAGTAGGAAACCTGTTGCTGAGGGTAAGTAAATTCTTTGGAGCCATGTCTCTGGTGTGTCATCATACTCTGAAGGTCCACAGATTTCCTGCTTACAGCAGTTCCTTGTGCTTCCTTTCAGGAGGCAGGAATGATCCTCTTCCAGTCCAGGGAATTTTGGAGCTATGGGCTGAAGATTTAAGATTAACAGGCATCCCCAGAATGATGACATCTGGATTTGGTAGAACAATAAGGATCCATTTAGTGAGGACTCAATCTTTTTGGAAAAGCTCTTTCCTCTTCAACTTGTATAGGTTGGCAAACTTGTTTTTAGATCCAGAGTGACTTGGCTAGGTCAGTTACATTTTGCATGTTTAATACTCACAGTTCTCAAATTTAGGTGGCTAGATCTTTAGATCTTTTAGTCTGTTAGGGTAGAATATACATATCCTATCCTAAGCAAAGGAAAACCTTGAGCTTTTGAGGACATTTATTTCTCATGCTCATAAAGAATAAGGAAGATATATATGAAGAGATGACTTGCCATGTTTAAGTTAAGGCTGATCTTCTGCATTCTCACTCATTATGACCAGATAGAAGTAGCACTTGAATATATTCTAAATTGCCACAGGTATCTTTGAGAGGATAACAAACAACTTTCCTCAGTCAGCATATCGATAAGCTACTATGTAATAGAAGATACTCTGTTGATTGGCCAAATGAGTAGAGATTGTGACAACTTGTTTTAACTTGTTCTCTTTTTGTGTGTGAGGATGCTATCCCTTAGGTTTTATACTTAAGGCTGGAGGTCTACCACATAAGCCACAGATCCACTCCTGGCTTTTGGATGTTTTGTTAGAAATAATAGTCTCACTATGACATTTTTGCCTCATTGGCTTTGAACTGCAATCCTCAAATCTCATGGCTTGAATAGCTAGGATTATGGGTGTGAACCACTAGTGCCTGTCATTTATACCTGTTCTTAATAGGTTTGCTTATTCCTGGAGGGAATAAAAGGAAATCAGAATTTTTCTTTTTTATGTTACTATTATGTCTTGAGGTAGAAGATTTTAAGATGTAGTAACCTGTTAGGGTCTGGAGATACAGCTTGGTCGTAGAGCTTTTTTTGCCTAGCATGTTCAAGGCCCTAGTTGAATCCTCCAGCAAAACACACACACACGCACGCACGCACGCACGCACGCATGCACGCACGCACGTAACCTTTAATTACAGTATAATCTTGTAATGGAACGTAGATTTAAAGTAAAGCATAGACAAGCAGATGAATACCTTTTTAAATAACCTTAAAAAGGCTCAGACTGGGAAGAATAAAACTACTGGTTAAAACTAAAATTTGTTTTGTAAAATAATTTCCATTATGTACATATTCTTTTTGGTTTCTATTGTGGATTTTAATGTTCTTTTTGTAAAGATTTTTATTTTTGAGGGGTAGATTTGCATGTAGAGAGGGTAGTGGGAAAAGTTGCTTCATTTTTCTAAACCTCAGGTGATTCTGTGGATCTTTACAGTATTGTGCACATTTTCAGATATAGGGCTCCAAAGAACGGGCATATGCCCAGCTTTTCCTTCTTCTTATGTTTTAAGTGCTAAATACATTACTAAGTAGGAGAGAAATATACGTAAGAAATAAGAGTAACTATTTTTAACATAATTTTACTTGTATTTTTAGGAAAGAATATTTGTTATTTGAAAATGATAAGTTGTCACACTTAATTCTGGTAAGAACTATTTTTATCTTTTAGTTCTTGAATAAGTTGTTTTGGTTAATGCATCAATTATTATATCTAGCCTTAGTTCTTGCATTGGATAGACTTAAAGGAGATTTAAATGAAAATACTCATCAAATGTATGCCAGCTAAGCAGAAACTTAATTTTCTACTTTTGGTTATAAGATTGTTGGTTATGCCAGGCACTGGTGGCTCATGCCTGTAATCCTAGCTACTCAGGAGGCTGAGATCTGGGGATCACTGTTCAAAGCCAGCCTGGGCAGGAAAAGTCTGTGAGACTCTTTATCTCCAGTAAACCACCAGAAAACCAGAAGTGACCCTGTAGCTCAAGTGGTAGAGCGTTCTCCTTGAGCTGAAGAGCTTGGGGGACAGCGCCCAGGCCCAGAGTTCAAGAGCCCCAGGACCAAACAAAAAACAAAAGATTATTGGTTATGAAAATACTTTTTGAATTTAAGATCCAAACTTTGTCTCAATACAACATACTATAAAACCACAAGTTAATATTTGAAAATAGTTTGGATTGTGGCAGTGGGAGAGCAGGCTTTAAAGGCACAGTAAACTAGTCTTGACTACACAAGGATATGTGCTTGGCTGTCTTTAAGCCAGACATGAAAAGCTTCGTGGTTGTGAAATGTGTTTTCTACTTTAAAATACAGGAATCTAGTAGCAACATACGTGATTTGAATGCTAACACTGAATCAGAAATGCCAGGAAGTCAAAGTGTTGGTGTTCAAGGGGAAGCAGCATGTGTCCAAATTCCACATTTAGATCTGAAGAATGTTTCTGATGGTGATAAATGGGAAGGTAATTTTACCCAAACACATATTTTCCTGATACTGTTATTTGTAACTGAAATTACCCGAAGTAGTAATGGGATTACTGCCCTTTTCTGGACACTCTTACTTGTCTTTTGATTTCCCCTTCATATATGATGTGAGGGTTTTTTGTTTGTTTTTGTTTTGCTTTTGGTGCTGGTACTGAGGCTTGAATTCAGCGTTTGCTTAGCTTTCTTGTTCACAACTGGTGTTCTACCACTTGAACCACACCTTTAGTCTTGCTGGTTAATTGGAGATGGAGTCTCAAAAGACTTTTGTTCCCAGGCTGGCTTCAAACCTTGATCCTCCAGGTCTCACTCTCCTCAGTATCTAGGATGCCAGCGGTGACTTCTTTTTTACTCAGATACACTAATGAGATTATGAGGAACTGGAACTAACTTAACCTTTATCTATTATCTTTGGAAGTGGATGTTAGTGCTGGGCATGGTGGCCTATGCCTGTAATTATGGCACTTAGCAGGCAGGAAGATTTCTGAATTTAGAGCCAGCCTGGGCTATATATCAAGACCTTATCTCAGGAAACAAAAATGAATGATAGAATTGATGAAAAATCTAAAATCATCTCAGGCTTTTGTTAGATCAGAGGCTCTCTCTTCAGTCTTTGAAAATCAGTGTAGTAGGGCTTGAGGATCTCTCCAATTTAAGGACACTTAGCTATTATTTTTCACCAGGAATATTTAAAAATCTTCAGGGGCACTTGTAAGCAAATATTATGCCATATTTTCTGTCTCTGAATCAGATTATTAAAATATAACGAGACCAAAAATTTTCACAAAGGAATGAAGTTTAAATTTAGTAGGCATTAAGAGAATCTTAAATTGTAACTGAATTGAACTTCACTGAATTATTTGTAAGCAGGAGTGTTTGTGGGGAAAATTATATTGAAATCCTTGAAAAAAATGTTAGTGATAAATCTAGGGAATTGTTTTTTTTTGGGGGGGGGAATTGTTATATTAGTGTTCACTAAACTTTTTTCAATATGTTGTATTTTTGTCAACTCAAGTAAAATGTTGAAGAAAGGGGGAAGCAAGACACATATTTTTGAATATAGTCTTTCTGAATCATAATATTTCTAGGTGAAGAAAAGAATAAGACAACTTAGGAATTTTAATCGTTTATTTGTTCACGGGATGATGATCCACAGATTATTTTACCTTTAGTAAGTTATTTGGTGACATACAATGGTTATAATAATCAATGAAATTATAATGCCAGTGCTCTGTTTCTTTGGCCACAATAAGTCCACTTACCTGATCATAATTGCAGTGTATGTGGTTTCTTTTTAAGTTTTAAGCATTTGTTAAAAAAAAATTCCTACCAATATTTGTCTATGCCAAACTTTATTGCTGTCTACCACTTTGTTTTTAAAACTTTCTGATGCCATATAGTAGGCATATTATGAGTTTTAAACTAAATCAGGAAATTGTCTTTTGTTTGCATTGTTTTGAGTTATTCAGGACTTTGGAATTTTTGAAGGCTTCAGATTTAGAGGATATGTTAGCATACTGATGGCAGTGAAGAATAAATGTAGCATTTTAGTTTCTTATTGGAGCATAGTCATTGAAAATAACCAGTGGTTGACAGTAATCTTTCGAGCCTTGAAAAGAAAGGAGTTTCTGAAAGATAAGGCTGGGGATTCCAATGCACTTTTGCTTCTTAGAAGCTGCAGATGAATAGCTATTTATAATATTTGGTGGTGGGATCTTGATCCTAAGTTTCAAGCATGGAAATGTAATTTTTTTTCATGAGTAAATTGGGCATTTTTTTCTCTCTGGCTTCAACTCTCTAGTGGCTCCCAAAAGAGAGCCTCTTATATTCCTTGTCAGAATCCAACTTCTGTAGCTTTTTGCAGGGGATGGATATTTCATATGGACTACTACTGCCTGAGATGCCCTATTACCATCTGACTCAAAAGTTATGACAAAGCCGGGCATCAGTAGCTCATGCCTACAATCCTAGCTACTCGGGAGGTTGAGATCTGAGGATCATGGTTCAAAGCCAGCCCAGGCAGGAAATTCCGTGAGATTCTTATCTCCAATAAACCACTCAGAAAACCGGAAGTGGTGCGCTAGTCTTGAGCTGAAGAGCTGAGGGACAGTGCCCAGGCCCTGAGTTCAAGCCCCATGACTACCACCACCACCACCAACAAAAGTTATGACAAGTTCACGTAGACATCCTGGCTTGCTTTTCCAAGTGGAGGTCAAGGCATTCTGAGAACCAATTGTAGCATACAGCTGAAATTCCTAGCTCTGGACTGTGTATGTTTGGCAGATTGGCTATCAAGAAACTCTACTGTTTCTTTCAAATTTACCACTAGTATTAAATTGACTTTTCACAATTAGGTAGGTGTCAAGATATTTTATACATAAAGTCTTAAGACAATAAAATTGTTTAGATTCTGGATACTTTGAAATCAGAGACATAATCTTGTTTGTGACTCCTAGTAGAGAAGTGAGGTTGACTGAATTGAGCCCACGCCACTATTTCCTAGTATGTCCTTTTTGTTTTTTGTCTTCCTTCAAGTGTAATTAGCAAGCAAGTTGTATCAGTATGAATTTGAAGCAGCTCTTCAAAAAGATTTAACTTTTAATTACCTTTCCCTCAAATTCTCTCCTGCTGACTCGAATAAAATAGTATGATCTTTTTTTTTTCTTTTCTTTTTGCCAGTCACGGAGCTTCAATTCTGGGCCTGGGCTCTGTCACTGAGCTTTTGTTCAAGCTAGTGCTTTACCACTGGAGATACAGCGCTAATTCCAGCCTTTTCTGAGTAGTGTTTATTGGAGATGAGAGTCTCATGAATTTTTCTGCCCAGTCTAGCATTGAGCTGTGATCCTCAGATCTCAGCCTCCTGAGTAACTAGAATTACAGGTGTGAAGCCACTGGCTCCCGGCAAATAGTACAGTCTTTACAAAGCATAACCAGAAGGGATCTTTCCTGTCTTTTGTGTTCTCATTTTGTTCTGAGGATTGAATTTAGGACTTCGTACATGCTAAGCAAGGACGCTACCATTACCTACACTCCTAGCCCCTGTCAAGGAGATTTTTTTTCTGTCTTACTATACTGAAAAACTTCAAATATTTCTGGTTATGAGTTTCCATTTCTTCTGTTTTATTTTTGTGTTTTAATAAAATAGCATTACTTTTTTTTTTTTTTTTTTGCCTTGCTTGCTGAAATGGAAATGTGTGTTTGTGTCAAAGTTCAGTTAGTAGCAATGTCTTTGAACAACAGTTTTTGAGCAGAATGCCTAGCTAGTCTTAGGGGAATGTTTTTGGTATATTTGGCTTTTGTGTTATGTGTATGGTTTGTTCTGACTGTGCTGTGTGTTCACTCTAGTATTTTTTGCCATTTTTTCCATTTTATTAGCGTCATGCCCTATCACTTTCCCCCTCATTGATTTCAAAACAATGCATCTGCAGAGAGATGGGGAGGGTAAGTATGGTTCACCATAGTTTAGATTTCTTGCCTTTTAATGGTTCACTTGGTTTTATAAGCCCTTCTCCTGCTGTCCCTAAATTCTCCTGTTGTCTTGGGTTAAAAATGATACCCAGGAAAAAAAAACTTAAAAAATGTCCTTTTATTAAAACAGGAGATTTCTCAAAAAAATGTTTATTTCCAGTTACATTTGCTGGGACACAGGTACAAGGGTTGTGCTGAAGTTACTTTATTGCTGTTTTTTTTAGTGGGATTGCATGCTTTGTATCCAATTTTTACTTAGATTGAGTTTCAAAAATAAACTAAGTTATGTTCTAAAAACCATAGAAACAAATAATGCTTTAAGTAGCTAATGCATTTAACTACTAAAGTATTAAAGTAGCAGCTTTAACTATTATGTGAAAAAAAAAAAGGAAATATCACTTTTGAATTTTGACACTGTCAAGCCATCTTTCCATTCATTTTTGCTATTAGTAGTAGTGGTAGTGTCATAGTTTTAATTTTAATTTTTAACTATAACCAACATGTGCTTCAGTGATGCTTGAAATTAACTTTATAGTTGGGGTGTATTTGTGGGTATTATGCCTGACCTGTATATGCTCCATATGTAATCAAACTTTATATATGCAGAGACATCGGTTTTTTAATAACATGGTTTCATTGGAGAGCATACACAGTAATTCCAACAAAATAAATACATTTTAACTAAGTGCTGTTAATTTTTCTCTCAATTATACTGCCCAGACACACACAAAATATAGAAATCCTATGATAGAAAATAACTGTCACGGTTTAATGTTAGAAGCCAGGTACTACCAGGTGAGTTAGCTCCTCTTTTGAAAATACTAGAATTGTTATGGGGTCAGAAGGAGTTTAAGGGTTCTGTATAGAATTGGGAAGATGTTCCATATCTTAAATACTTGATAGTGAAGGACAGTTTGTAAACCTGTGTTTTTTGTTGTTTTTGGTACTGGGTTTGAACTCAGGGTCTGGGCCCTGTTGTTTAGCTTTTTTGCTGAAGGCTAGTGCTCTATCACTTAAGTCACAGGTCTACTTTGAGCATTTTACTGGAAGTTGGAAATAAGAATCTCATAGACTTTCCTGCCCAGCTGGCTTTGAACTATGCTCTTCAGATCTCAGCCTCCTAAATCGCTACATTTTACAAGCCTGATCCACTGGTTCCTGGCTGAGTGTTTAGTTTCTAAGTAAAGATTTAACATGAAAAACAATTTTTTAAGCAACATTTTTACAATATTAAGTTAGGGTTATATTAAATAACATCTTTAGGATTAAAATCTAAAGGACTTGACAATGTCTTTTCTTGCTTTGCCACTGGGTTCAGAAGTTTAAGTAAATTTAAATTTAAGATATAGCTCCTTGTGAAAATAGAATATTGGGTAAAATAATGAGACTTGGATAATTATAAACATAACAGTAGGCATTATAAAGATTCTGATATCTCTTGTGTTTGTTTTACAGAGCCATTTCCTGCTTTTAAGTCTTGGCAGGAAGATTCTGAGTCTGGAGAAGCTCAGCTGTCTCCACAAGCTGGAAGAATGAATCATCATCCTTTGGAAGAGGATTGTCCCCCAGTACTATCACATCGAAGTTTAGATTTTGGGCAAAGCCAGCGTTTTCTACATGATCCAGAAATGCTAGAGTCTTCATCTAAAGCACTTTCTTTTGCTCGGTATATGATTTTATGCGTTTTAAGAGGCAATTCCTGTTATGTGCCCAGGTCCTCTGGGGGATTCCAGGCCTATAGTTCAAAGCCTTTTTCCTATTTTCTTTAAGTATTTTTGTAATTTTTTCTCCCTGCTATTCTGAGTTCACTGAGGTATATGTAGTGCTTAGGGTTTGCTATCACATAGACATTTCCTCATTATTTCTCATTCATTATTCCAGAATCCTGAATGGAAACCAGCATATACAGCTGATCTGTTCCTAATTTATTTTTCAATTTTTTAGTTGTTGTTGATTGTGGAGCTTGAACTCTGGGCCTGGGCTCTGACCCCTGTCCCTGAGCTCAAGGCAAGTGCTCTACCACCACTTGAGCCACAGTGCCACTTCTGGTGGTTAATTGGAGATAATAGTCTCACAAACTTTCCTTCCTGGGCTGGCTTTGAACTGTGATCCTCAGATCTCAGCCTCCTGAGTAGCTAGAATTAAAGGCGTGAGCCTCGGGCACCTAGCTGCTCCTAATCTTTTTTTAAAGCGATTGTACAAGGGTTTCAATTTGTTCATAGTGTTTTTGTTAAATTTGATTCTCAAAGTCAAATCTTGTTGTCCTCCACAGTTTTTTAATATTTTAAAGTCCTTTGAGCTTCTAAATGTCTTCGCTTCTTTTTGTCAGGAAAGTTTTAAATGATTCCAAATTCTCTTCTTCACCACTTAGATTAGCCAATTTTGTGGTCTATAATAGTATTATTAACTGTTAGTATTCTTTATTAACTGTTCGGTGTTAGGAATTCAGTTTTACTTTGTGCGTGTGTGCATGTGTATGTGTGACGTGTGCGCACATGCGCATGTGTGCTGATACTGGGGCTTGAACTGAGGACTTGGAGTTCCCACTTGGCTTTTTCACTCAAGATTGGTACTCCACTACTTGAAATACATCTCCACTTCTGGCTTTTTGCTGGTTAATTGGAGAGAAGAGTCTCATGGGATTTTCTGCCACTGTCTTTGGACTGAGGTCCTCAGATCTCAGCCTCATGAGTAGCTAGAATTACAAGCTCCATCAGGAAGTGTCTGGCATAAATTCACCAGTAAGGTATACTTCCTTTTAATAGTAATCTATCAGGACAATAAGTGATAAAACATTGATAGTTGTAAAGGTAATACATACTGTTACACTGTTTCAATTCAGGATTCGAAGATCATCCTTTGGTTTAAAAGATGAAAAAAGAGAAGATAGAACACCTTACCAATTGGTCAAGAAACTTCAGAAAAAAATCAGACAATTTGAGGAACAGTTTGAAAGGGAAAGAAATAGCAAGGTAAGTTTTTAACATAGATTTAAAGCTAGAGTAATATTAGAACTATGAGGAGGATCTTTATAGAGAGCATTAGTGTAGCCATAATAGATGTAGTAACAAATCTGAGATAACTAAAGAAATTTTGATAATTAAAAGTCTGAGAACAAATGGATTTTTAGGCTTTTGGATTCTAAGTGAGTGTTCTTACCATTGTAACATTGCCTCTTTATATTTCTACTGGCAGAACAGCTTTTAGAATTTCTAAAGCAAAATACTTTGACAAGTCATATTTTTACTATTTCTGCTTTATCAGAAGTAAAAAAGAGAAGAGGAAAAGCAAGGGAGGGTGGGAGAAAAAGAATCTGTGCTTTAATAATTAGAACCTGTGCAGTGGAATGAGTCCTAAATATTTGAAGACAGACCCATGTTCAAAAGTGATTTCCCAGTTCAAAAAGCTTCTTTGAAAGAGGATGTGCTTAATATCCTGCCCTAACTCATGAATAGAAATGAAGTGTAAATGAATTATGTGCTGTAGAAACCATAAAATACTATTTGGGCATAAAAGAACATAATAATTGCTTATCTCGAATGTCAGTGATAATTGCTTTATAATTTTTCAGCCCTCCTACAGTGATATTGCAGCCAACCCAAAGGTTTTAAAATGGATGACAGAGCTTACCAAACTGCGGAAGCAAATTAAAGGTATAACACGTGCCATTTTGTAATATATTTGCATTTCTTTTTTTCTTTCTTTCTTTTTTTTTGGGTCCGGTTGTGGGGCCTGAACTCTGGGCCTGGGCGCTGTCCCTCAGCTCTTCAGCTCAAGGCTAGCGCTCTACCACTTGAGCCACAGCGCCACTTCCGGCATTTTTCTTTTTGCTTATATGGTGCTGAGGAATCGAACCCAGGGCCTCAGGCTTGCAAGGCAAGCGCTCTACCACTGAGCCACCTTCCCAGCCCCTCTTTTTTTTTTTTTTTTTTACCAGTCCTGGGGCTTGAATTCAGTGCCAGGGCACTGTCCTTGAACTTCTTTTGCTCAAGGCTAGCACTCTGCCACTAGAGCCATAACACCACCTCCAGCCTTTTCTGTGTATGTGTTCCTGAGGAATTGAACCTAGAGCTTCATGCATTCTAGTAAGCACTCTACCACTGAGTCACCTTCCCAGCCCTTGCATGTCATTTTATTGTTTTTTACATATGCTGGTACTGGGGCTTGAACTCAGAGCTTTCTGCTGCTGCTGCTTAAACACCCCTTCCCCCAAGACTGGCATACCACTTGAATTTACTCTTCTATTTCTAGCTTTTAGCTGGCTAATTAGAGATGAGTCTCTTCAAATTTGTCTTCCTGGGGGTGCTGGCTTTGAACTGCACTTCTCAGATCTCAGCCTTCTGAGTAACTAAGATTATAGGAGTGACCTAGCACTAACTAACACAGTTTTTCAGCACAAGTATGCATTTGTGTCCTTTCAGTAGTTAAGATCAACATTGTAAACTATTCTTTCAAATAGCTTTCCTTTGTGTTTATTAGTATTCTTTTGAGGATGCCCTAGTTTATATTCATAGCTGACTTAATGCCATATTAAGCAGGTGGTTTTTTGTTGTTTGTTGTTTTTTATGCTAGTCCTTGGGCTTGAATTCAGGGTGTTGTCTCTGAGCTTTTTTGCTCAAGATTAGCACTCTGCCGCTTGAGCCACAGCTCTATATCTGGCTTTTTGGTGGTTAATTGGAGTTAAGAACTCATGGACTGCCTGGCATTGGTGGCCCATGCCTGTAATTATAGTTACTCAGGAGACTTGAAGCCAACCTGGGCAGGGAAGTCTATGAGACTCATATCTCCAGTTAATCACAGAAAAAGCCAGAATTGGTTCTGTGTCTTCAAAGTGGCATAGCACTACTAACCTTGAGCAAAAGAACTTAGGGACAGTGCCTAGGCCCTGAGTTCAAGCCCCACAACTGCCACCCCCCAAAAAAACAAAACAAAACCAACCTCATGGACTTTCCTGCCCAGGCTAGCTTTGAACTACTATCCTCAAATCTCAGATTCTTGTGAGCCACCAGCACCTGTCATTATTAAACAATTTTTTATAGATATTTATGTATTTGTTGATTCATTTGGTGGTGGTGGTGGTAGTAGTTGTTAGTTTTGCCATTTGAGAAACTTTAGCATGTGTACATGTCCTTGGAAGTCATTTCATTAAGATTTTTGAGGGAGTTGGGTGCTGGTGGCTCAAGCCTGTAATCCTAGCTACTTAGGAGGCCGAGGTGGTTCAAAGTCAGCTGGGCAAGAAAGACCGTGAGACTCTTATCTCCAATTAACCACCAGAAAACCAGAAGTAGTGCTGTGGCTCAAAGTGGTAGAATGCTCCCCTTGAACTGAAGAGCTAAGGGAGTTCAAAGCCCAGAGTTCAAACCCCACAACTGACCAAAAAAAAAAAAAAAGATTTTTCAGTGAGTATTTTATCTAGGAATGTTTTGTCAAGGCTCAGAAGTATAGCCCGGTACCAGAATGTTTACCTAGCACATATGGTACCCTAGGTTTGGTCCCCAGCACCTCATAAAGTAGTTATAGTGGAGTTGTTGACATTACAAACAGTAGATTGCTAAATTGTAAGTCTTCTTGAATCATAAACTATCCTATACAGTTTTGAGTGTCAGACCAGGATAGCAATTATTGAGCAGTGAGTGTTCAGTGAACAGAGTTTTGATAGATAGCCCAAGCTTGAAGTTGTGATCCTTCTGCCACAACCTTCCAAGTGCTGGTATTAGAGGTTTATACCACCATGCACAGCTTGTAAATATGCTTTTTTTTTTCTTCCAAGCTCCCATACTGGGGCTTGAGTTCAAGGCATGGGACACTACCCTTTAGCTTTTTTGCTGAAGACTGGTACTCTCCCACTTGAGCCACAGCTTCACTTCTGACTTGTTACTGGTTAGTTGAATCTCCTGGACTTTTCTGTCCTGGACGGACTAGCTTTGAACAGTGATCCTCAGATCTCAGCCTTGTAAATAGCTAGGATTACAGGCAGGAAGCTGTTGCCTTAGTTTGAGTCATACATCTTTTTCTTCTTCTGTACTGTGGTCAGGTTCTTTCTATTCCATGTTCAGCTAGAATGATACCATTCAGAAAGGTTTTGTTAACCCTTTCTAGTGTAGTTGCTCTTCTACAAAATACTTCTATCATTGTAACATCATTCTTTTTTTGGGGGGGGGGGGGTGGTGCCCATCCTGGGATTTGAACTGTCCTTGAGCTTTTCTGTTTTTGTGTGTATGTGCTGTTCTTGGGCTTGAACTCAGAGTGCTATTCCTGAGCTGTTTTGCTCAAAACTAGTGCTCTACCTCTTTAAGCCATAGCTTCACTTCCCACTTTTTGGTGGTTAATTGGAGATAAGAGTCTCACAGACTTTCCTGCCCAGGTTGGCTTTGAACCATGATTTTCAGATCTCTGCCTCCAGAATAACTAAGATTATAGGCATGAGCTACTGGCATCTGGCCATTTTGTTTTCTTTATAGACTTAAATTCTTTTTTTTTTTTTTAGGTCAGCGGTGGGGCTTGAACTCACAGCCTGGGAACTGTTCCTGAGCTCTTCAGCTCTACCATTTTTAATTCACAGCACCACTTCCAGTTTTCTGGTGGTTAACTGGAGATAAGAGTCTCAAGGAGGGGCTGGGAAGGTGGCTCAGTGGTAGAGCACTTGCCTTGCATGCTTGAGGCCCTGGGTTCGATTCCTCAGCACCACATAAGCAAAAAGAAAAAAAAAGCCAGAAGTGGCGCTGTGGCTCAAGTGGTAGAGCACTAGCCTTGAGCTGAAGAGCTGAGGGACAGCGCCCAGGCCCAGAGTTCAGCCCCACAACCGGACCCCCCCCCCCCCCCCCCAAAAGAGTCTCAAGGACTTTCTTGTTTAGACTGGCTTTAAACTGAGATCCTCTTATCTCACCCTCCTAAGTAGCTAGGATTAAAGACTTGAGCTACTAGCACCTAGCTTAGCCTTAGCATTCTTTTTTTTTTTTTTGTCGGTCGTGGGGCCTGAACTCTGGGCCTGGGCGCTGTCCCTCAGCTCTTCAGCTCAAGGCTAACACTCTACCACTTGAGCCACAGCACCACTTCCGGCTTTTTTCTGCTTATGTGGTGCTGAGGAATCGAACCTAGGGCCTCATGCATGCAAGGCAAGCACTCTACCACTGAGCTACCTTCTCAGCCCATCCTTAGCATTCTTTAAAATGGTTTCATTTGTCAAATTATTTCGTTTTTTTCCTCTTCATGAACAAATACCTGTTTTGTTTACTACTATATCTCTGGTACTTAGTCTGAGTATCTTTATAGTAAACATGTGAATATTGCCTTATATAATTTAAATACTTTGTTTTAGAAATACTTGAGTCTTGTACTACTAATTATTAATCTATCCTCTTTTATAGATGCAAAACATAAAGGCTCAGATGGAGAATTTGTACCTCAGACACGACCACGTAGCAATACTCTTCCAAAAAGTTTTGGCTCTTGTCTAGAGCATGAAGATGAAGAGAAGGAAGGTGAAGTCAGAGTCATTCAGAAGGAGAAGAAACAATCTAAAGAAGTAACTCTTGAACTGATTCTGAAAAGATTGAAGGAAAAACGCGTTGAAAGGTGTCTTCCAGAAGATGTTAAGGTAATACTGAACTATAATGTGATTTTTACCCCGCGTAGCCTTTAGAATCTGCATCAAAAAAATTGCTACAGCAGTGTGTGAGATAATCTGGGTAGGTTGTATGGATTGTCCACTTCCTAGGTTTGCAGATTGATAACATGCATTTATCAATACATCATAAATGCTAAATATTTCAGTGGTTAAGTCACAATAATAAAGTTACAAAATTACATTGATTTATGGGAGGTGCAATTAGTAAGATGAATGTGTAAAGGACATGAAATGGTGTTGTTTGACTAGTCCTTTTTTGACTGATATATGTAGATGTGATTGTACCTGTTAAAGTACTAATTTGATATTATTAGAATTAAATGAATTAATTTATTATTTTTTTAGGTGGTACTAGGTTTGAGTTCCATGTCTTGTACTTGCTCTATCACTTGAACTACAGCTTTAAAATTTTTTGCTTTAGTTATTTTTCATATGATGTCTTGAAAAAGCCTGCAGCTGGCCTAGAATGTTGATCTTCCTGCTGAAGGCCTCCTCAGTAGCTAGGATGACAGACCTGGCTTGTTTTGTTGAGATATGGGATCTCATTAACTCTTTGCCTTGGCTGACTGCAAACCTTATCTTTTTTTTTTTTTTTTTTGTCGGTCGTGAGGCTTGAACTCTGGGCTTGGGTGCTGTCCCTACGCTCTTCAGCTCAAGGCGAGCACTCTACCACTTGAGCCATAGCACACTTCATGTTTTCTAGTGGTTTATTGGAGATAAGAATCTCTCAGACTTTTCCTGCCCGGGCTGGCTTTGAACCGTGATCTTCAGATCTCAGCTTCCTGAGTGACCAAGATTACAGGTGTGAGCCACTGGCGCCTGGCCTAATCTTTCTTATCTCTATGCATTCTTAGTATTAAAAAAATTTTTTTTTTCCAGCTGATCCTTGGGCTTGAACTTGGGGCCTGGGCACTCTCTCTGAGCTTCTTTGGCTCAAGGCTAGCACTCTAACACTTGAGCCACAGTGCCACTTCTGGCTTTTTCTGAGTAGTTTATGTATTTATTTTTTAAATCTCAATGTCTTTAATTTTATTGTCAAGGTGATAACAGAGGGGTTACAGTTACATATGTATAAAGTAGTGAGTACATTTCTTGTCCAATTTGTTACCCCCTCATTTTTCTCCTACTTAAGCCCCGCTCCCCCAAAAGTAGTTTAGTGGAGATAAACTAGGCTGGCTTACAAATAAAATCCTCAGGTCTCAGACTCCTGAATAGGTAAGATTACAGGTGTGAGCTGCTGGTGCCTGGCTGTGAATTAAATGTTTTGAAGAAGAATTAATCTTGGTCAGTAAAGTGTATATGGAAGGCAACTCAGGTGAAAGCACTTGGCAGCTTAAATCATGTGTCAGAAGAGATTTGCTGGAAGAATGAAGAAGGTAGTTTCAGGTGAACGTTTTGTCTAGGTAATAAATGGTAAGTTCTCCCACAGTTATCTTGACAAGTGTTCTTTCATGTTCTAAATTTTGGAGTTCTGGTTTCCTTTGAATAGTCAATTTCACCTTTCCCTTCTCATCTGTTTTTTTTCTTGTTATAGAACAACACTGTCCTTTTCTTATAGGGGATTTGATTGGATTAGCTTTACTCAAATTATAGGTTTAAGGTTAGAACTTGATTGAAATAATAGTAGTAGATAAGGTACTTTGTTATATGGCACCTCCTTTGTACAACTAAAAGATAATTTTTTTAAAAAAAGTATTAGCCTACATTTAGTTATCTACACTAATATAATGACATCATGCTTGTTTTAGGAAGATACATTCAATGAACCTTTAAAAAAATTTTTTTATTATAAAGGTGAGGTATAGAGACGTTACGGTTTCATAAGTCAGGTAATTAGTACATTTCTTTTTGCGTATCACCCCCAAAGAAGATCTTTAAACCTCTAATTTCACTGTATTGAAAGACAAAGTAGTAGTAACTAATCCTAGAAATAAGTAGAGTTGTTGGGAATGTAGCTCTATCTCCTGGTTTTGATCCTCAGCATTTCAAGAAACAAAACAACAAAAAGCTGGGCACTGGTGACTCACATCTCTAATCCTAGTGCTACTTAACAGCCTGAGATCTGAGGATCATGGTTGGAAGCCAGCCTGGGCAGGAAAGTCCATAAAAAGTAGAGCTAGAAGTAGAGCTGTAAGCCTGGCGCTGGTGGCTCACGCCTGTAATCCTAGCTACTCAGGAGGCTGAGATCTGAGGATCACGGTTCAAAGCCAGCCTGGGCATGAGAGACCGTGAGACTCCTATCTCCAATAAACCACCAGAAAACCGGAAGTGGCGCTGTAGCTCAAGTGGTAGAGCGCTGGCCTTGAGCTGAAGAGCTGAGGGACAGCGCCCAGGCCCAGAGTTCAAGCCCCACGACCGACAAAAAAAAAAAAATAATAAGTAGAGCTGTAACTCAAATGGTAGAAGTCTAGTCTTGGGTCAGAGAAACAGAGACAGGCCCTGAGTTCAAACACCAGAATCCATGTGAACACAAACACACACAAAATGATAAGTAGAGTTTATTTGACCAGTTGAAAAGTATTCCTGTGGAATATTGATTCATTGAGATGATAATAGGTGATTCTATGGTACAAAGGGGAAGAGTATATGGACAAATAAATTTTGAGAAATTCTGCCTACTCCACCATTTAGAATACTTGAAGATGTATTTATTGCAGGGTAAAACATTTGCCAACCCAGATGAAGTTATAAGGTGACATTTGGTATTTCTCTTGCATCTTTCCACAATACTGGCACATGGTTTCCTTATTAGCTTAGGAGATACATTGGGTTATAAAATCTTTGTATATAAATGTCTCTGTATATATATTTGTGTTACTAGAAATTTAGGGCAGCTAAGTTGAATTCAGGCAAGAGACGAAAATAGTAAAGCTAACAGGAAAGTTTATTAGAAAAGAAATATGGCAGAGAAAGGGAATATATGACATAGCCCTTCACCCCATCTCAGCCATCATGAGGTTAAATATGAGGTTAACTATGGAGCACTGGAGGTCCTTGACAGCATTCTAATTGGTGGTGGTGCTCCTTTCTGTGCCCTAGAAGGTCAAGATCCCTAAGATTAAAGTGTTCTGTTCTTATTTCTTTTGTCCTTTTAAAAAATTATTATTTGTTATTATAAAGGGGATGTACAGAAGGTTCACATTTATACAAGCCAGGTAAAGAGTACATGTCTTTTTGTTGTTGCTTTTGGTCGTGGGGCTTGAACTCTGCCTGGGCGCTGTCCCTCAGCTCTTCAGCTCAAGGTGAGTGCTCTACCACTTGAGCCACAGGGGCACTTCCAGTTTTCTGTTGGCTTACTGGAGATAAGTCTCACGTACTTTCCTGCCCGGGCTGGCTTTGAACCGTGATCCTCAGATCTCAGCTTCCTGAGCAGTTAGGATTACAGGCATGAGCCACCAGCACCTGGATTACATTTCTTTTTGAATAGTGTTACTCCTTCCCTTGCTCTCTGCCAGTTTTCTCTTCCTACCCCTTCCCCCTACAAGTTGTATAGTCATTTTCAACATTCTGTCTAGTGAGAACCCCTGCTACATTTGTTCACCTTTGCAAGTTGAAACAGAGGAGTGCCATGTGCTGAAATAGTTGAAGGTCCTTTATTAAAGCTGGTGGTAGAGAGCTGACTGTTGCCACAAAGGGAAATTGAGTAGAGTTTTTAAAGGCAGAAAAGCTTAATTAGTGTCAGGGAAGCTAGGTACTGACCAGTTGAGGAGACAGTTGGAGCAACAAGGAACCTACCAGAGGAGGTCTTAATTTAACTCCAGATGGCCCTCACAGTGAAACTTCAGGTGGCCCTTTGCTATAAAACTGGGGTTAGGGGAAGGTTAGGTATTTCATTACCCCCTCTAATAGTAATTAATCAAAGCACTGATTTAGCCTTGAGTAATTCTGGTTTGTTAGGTAGGTTTGTCCCTCCATTTCTGTGCCTCCCCTTATATTCCCAAAGACATAATGAACAAACAGAAAAAGAAAACAAAACAGCCACCCCCTTCCCCCCCCAAAAAACAACCCTTGTTTCCATTCCCTGGAGTTCATTTTGATAAATACTTTTTTTTTTTTTTTTTTTTGTCAGTCGTGGGGCTTGAACTCTGGGCCTGGGCGCTGTCCCTCAGCTCTTCAGCTCAAAGCGAGCGCTCTACCACTTGAGCTACAGCGCCACTTCCGGTTTTCTGGTAGTTTTTTGGAGATAGGAATCTCACGGTCTCTCCTGCCCGGGCTGGCTTTGAACCGTGATCCTCAGATCTCAGCCTCCTGAGTAGCTAGGATTACAGGCGTGAGCCACCAGCGCCCGGCTGATAAATACTATTTTGTATGAGCAGATGCACAAAGGCATTGTGCCTTTGTGTTCCTCTTAGAGTATCCTCCTTTGATTGCACTGTGTGTGAATGCTTGGGATCCTGTATAATTTACCATGTCTCAGTGTATTTTAGATCTATCTTCCACAAATGATAGAAAATATGTGCCATTTGTCTCTCTGAGCTTGGCTTACCTCATTTAACATGATTTGTTCTAGGTCCATCCATTTTCCTGCAAATGACATAAAGCTATTTTTCCTAATGGCTTTGTAAAATTCCATTGTGTATAGGTACCATGTTTTTTGGATCCATCTATTGTAGGCATCTAGGTTGTTTCCACAACTTAGCTACTTTGAGGACTGAAGCAATGAATATGGCTATGCAAGTGTCTTTATGGTATCTTGGCTTGTGAGGTTCTGAGTAGATGTCCAAGAGTGGTATTATAGCTAGGTTAGTGTTTTGTTTTCTCTCTTTCTCTTTCTCTCTTTCTTTCTTTCTGTCGTGAGGCTTGAACTCTGGGCCTGGGAGCTATCTTTCAGCTCTTCAGCTCAAGGTGAGCACGCTACCACTTGAGCTACAGCGCCACTTCCGGTTTTCTGGTGTTTATCGGAGATAGGAGTCTCACGGTCTTTCCTGCCTGGGCTGACTGAACCTCGATCCTCAGATCTCAGCTTCCTGAGTAGCTAGGATTACAGGCGTGAGCCACCAGCGCCTGGCTTTGTTTTGTCTTCTTTTTGCTGGTTCTGGGGCTTGAACTCTGGGCATGGGCACTGTCCCTGAGCTGCTTTTGCTCAAGGCAAGCACTACCAGCTTTTTTTGAGTAGTTTTTTTGGAGTCTCATGGAGTTTCCTGCCCTGGCTGGCTTTGAATCATGATCCTCAGATCTCAGCCTCCTGAGTAGATCAGATTACAGGTGTGAGCCCCTGGCACTTGGCTCTATGTTTTGTGTGTGTGTGTGTGTGTGTGTGTGTTCCTGAGTAGCTCAGATTACAGATGTGAGCCACTGGCACCTGCTCTATGTTTAGGGTGTGTGTGTGTCTGTGTGTCTCCTGGGGCTTGAACTCTGGGCACCTGGCTCTATGTTTAGGGGTGTGTGTGTGTGTGTGTGTGTGTGTGTGTGTGTGTGTGTGTGTGTGTGTGTGTGTGTGTGTGTGTGTGTGTGTGTGTGTGTGTGTGTGTGTGTGTGTGTGTGTGTGTGTGTGTGTGTGTGTGTGTGTGTGTGTGTGTGTGTGTGTGTGTGTGTGTGTGTGTGTGTGTGTGTCTGTCTCCTGGGGCTTGAACTCTGGGCCTGGGCACTATCTCACAGCTCTTCAGCTCAAGACCAGCACTCTACTACTTGAGCCACAGGGCCACTTCCAGTTTTCTAGGGATTTATTGGAGATAAGAGTCTCACAGACTTTCCTGCCTGGGCTGACTTTGCACCATCCTCAGATCTTAGCTTCCTTAAGTAGCAAGGATTACAGGCATGAGACACTGGTGCCTGGCTATGTTTAGTTTTTTGAGGAACCTCCAGACTGCTGTCCAGAGTGGTTGTACCAGTTTACATTCCCACCAACTATGCAATAGGACTCTTTTCAAAAAGTTTCTACCAATGCCTATGAGTTTTAGTGTTTTTCCTACTCCCTCTTGCACTAATTTCAAAGTTTCAAGACTAAGATTTGAGGTCTGGTTTTTGATCCACTTTTGAGTTGGTATTGTACATGATGACAAACAGGGATCCAATTTTAGTTTTCTGCATCTGGATGCCCACTTTTCCCAACACCAATTATTGAAAAGGCTTTTTTTTTCCCCACTGTATATCTTTGATTACCTTATCAAATATCAGATAACTATATGGTTTTATTTCCAGGTCTTTTAGTATATTCCCTTGATCTTGAGGTCAATTTTTTTGCCAATTTTTTGTGATACCACTAGCATTACTTTTTTCATATACATTTTCGAATTGTTTTCTCTATGTCAGTAAAGAATTTCATTGAGATTTTGATGGGGATTGCATTACATTTGTAGATCATTTGTGGCAGTATGGGCATTTTTTTTTTACAATATTCTACCTGTCCATGAACATGCAAGATCTTTCCATTTCCCAATGTCATCTTTCTCCGAATTTTTATAGTGTTACTCTTGGTGGGCAGGCCCACATAGCCCTTTTAGCTCAGCAGCTGGCAGATCACTACTAGGGTTGTAGCTCAGGTCAGACATTGCCTACTAGTATTCCAGCTCTACTGCCAGTAACCTACATTGGTTCTTTTTTGGTGCTGGTATTCAAGGACTTATGCTTTCTCTCGGCTTTTTTGTTCAAAGTTGGTGTTCTGTCACTTGAGCTACACTTGCATTTCCATCTTTTTGCTAATTAATTGGAAGCTAAGAGTCTTATAAACTTGGAGTAGTTTTTTTTGTTTTTTTTTTGGTTGGTCAGTGGCTTGAACTCGGCTTGGGCGCTGTCCCTGCGCTCTTCAGCTCAAGGCGAGCTCTCTACCACTTGAGCCACAGCGCCACTTCTGGTTTTCTAGTGGTTTATTGGAGATAGGAGTCTCACAGACTTTCCTGCCCGGGCTGGCTTTCCTCAGATCTTAGCCTCCCGAGTAGCTAGGATTACAGGCGTGAGCCACTGGTGCCCGGCCTGGAGTAGTTTTGAACTTCAGATCGCAGCTTGAGCAGCTAGGATTATAGATGTGAGCCATCAGTGTCTGGCTCCCTCCTCAGCTTCTTGTCTCAGGGGTTCACCAGTTAAGTCCAGGACAATGAAGGATGAGTGTAAAGAATTTTATTGAAAGAATAAAGACTGCTACTCTATCCACAGTGTGTTCTCTGCTTATCTATTTTCTCTCTTTTTTTGGGGCGGGGGGGAGGGTCCGGTCATGGGGCCTGAACTCTGGGCTTCGGCACTGTCCCTCAGCTCTTCAGCTGAAGGCTAGCACTCTACCACTTGAGCCACAGCACCACTTCCGGCTTTTTTCTTTTTGCTTATGTGGTGCTGGGGAATCGAACCCAGGGCCTCATGCATGCAAGGCAAGTGCTCTACCACTGAGCGACCTTCCCAGCCCTCTATTTTCTCTTGAAGCAAAAAATGTCTCTGTTACCTCCCCCACTCCCTACTCTCCTCTGAATCTAGTTTTTGCACCCTGAGCTGAAGGCTGATTGGTTGCCTCTATTATAATTACATATTCTGGAAGGTAAAATTTTATTTGTTGTGTACCACAATATTCTTAGTTAATTCTTAGTTAAGGCTCTTCTGCAGAACCCTCTCCAGAGGGTCATGGAAAGGTTATTGAAACTAGAGGTAATATGTTCCAAAACAATGTCTGTTGCATCTGAGATGCTGTCCAAGGGCCCAGGTTTTAGTTAATTCACAAGGCCAACCAAAAAATAATTTTTAGGTTACCTCTTACATTAATGGTAACAAAAGACTATAATAAACATTAAGTGATATGCAATTATGTGTGCATATTAGAGTTAAAATGTGCATATTAAAATTGACTGAAGTATTTTCATTTTACAGAGTAGGGTACTGAATATGAGGAGGTTAAGTAACTTACCAAAAAGTATTTTTGTGCACTGTGCACTGGTAGCTCATGTCTGTAACCCTAGCTACTAAGGAGGCTGAAATCTGAAGCTGTCAGTTTGAAACTAGCCTGGGCAAGAAAGTCTGTGAGACTCTTACCTCCAGTTAACCACCAAAAAGCTACAAATGAATCTGTAGCTCAAATGATAGCAAAAAAGCCTGGGCTCTGAGTTATAGCTTCAGGACCAGCACATACACACAAAAATTAACATCCCCTTAATGGTTTGATTTATACCTAGGTATTGGGCAAAATGTACAATGTTGCTTGTAAATTGATAAGCAGAGAATGCGATATTCTGGAATGCTGATTGTCTATGCTTTCACCCTAATAACTTATATTGTAGGAGTGAGAATAATATTGGTGCCAATGTTTCACTTTTTTTCTCTTCTCTAATTCTAGAAAATGACAAAAGACCATTTAGTAGAAGAGAAAACTTCTCTACAGAAAAGTCTACTTTACTATGAAAGTCAACATGGAAGGCCGGTAATATCTCTTGCTAAAAGAGCATTCATCACTTTTGTGGTCTATATTCCTTAGAAGTGTTTATAAAGCATTGTTTCCTATATTTGGGAGATTGCCTACCTATTTATATAAAATTTATATGATTTAATTGTTTGGATATTTTAAATTTCTTATGATGTTGTGACCTATCTTTTTTTGGGCTTTAGGTGACCAGAGAAGAAAGGCACATTGTTAAACCTCTCTATGATAGATACAGACTTGTAAAACAGATGCTGACAAGAGCTAGCATCACTCCTGTCCTTGTAAGTAAATCAAATATTTCTCTAGTTCATTTTACCAAGATGTAATTGTCAAAAATTATATGCTTTTAGTAGTATATTGGAGAAATACAAAGGTAAGATAGAAAAAAGGTAATTTTAAAGTTGAGATTAGAGGAAATTAGTGCCTACCACTATTTTCCAGACATTTTCCCCCCAACTCCCTATGTGGCTTTGAACTTAGGGCCTCACTCTTGCTAAGTAGGTTCTCTACTACTTGAACCATGTCCTAGATCTGTAAGTATTTTATGTGGGTATATGTGCATTACTTACAGGTCTAGAATAGGGCTTTCTCCCTGCTTTCTTCTTCATATCTAGTACTGTAGCACTGTAATCACTTTTTTTTTTTTTTTTAACTGTATTTTTTTGTCTTTTCTTTTTTGGTACTGGGGATCGAACCCAGGACGTTGCACTTGCTAGGCAAGCGCTTTGCCACTGAGCTACCTCCCAGCCCTGTAATCACTTTTAATACAGCATTTTTACTAGTTCATTGGAGATGGACTCTCTCAAACTTTCCTGCTCTAGCTGGGTTTTTGATCCATGATCCTTTAGGTCTCATCCTTCTGAGTAGCCAGGATTACAGGTGTAAGCCACCAACGTCTGGCTACCTATAAGCATTTTTATGTATAGTTTATGCTACTGAATCCTAACATGTAAAGTCACAACAGACAGAATATGATATGCTTGTAATATGGAGATTCAGGTAATAATGTGCCCAAAGTTACCTACTTTGCAAGTGACAGCAGTAAAAGGAAAAAACTTGGATCTCACAAGCTCCTTGTTTAGTTTCTTTTTAAATTACATCTTTGGTTGAGCTCTTAAGAGAATTGAAGACCAAACTAGCCTGGGTATAAGTCAAGACACTACTGAAAACAAAACAAAAAACTCAGTAGACCGAATACCAGTTGCTCACACCTGTAATCCTGGTTACTTATGATGCTGAGATCGAAGTCTCGTAGTTTAAAGCCAGCTTGGGCAGGAAAGTCTGTGAGGCTTTTTTTTTTTTTTTAAGTGGTGCCAGTCCTGGGGCTTTGAGCTAAGAGCCTGGTTGCTCTCCTTGAGCTTAAGATTAGTACTCTACCACCTGAGCCACAGATCCACTTTTGACTTTAGGTGATTAATTGGAGACAACCACCAAGGGACTTTTCTGCCTCCAGACTTGCTGGGATTAGGTATATACACTACCACAACTGGTCCTTTATTTTTTGATGCCAGTATTGGGGGCTTGAACTCAAGACCTCCAGATCTTGCTTGGCTTTTTCACTCATGGCTAGTGCTCTACCACTTGAGCCACATCTCAAATTCTGGCTTTTTGATGTTAATTGGAAATGAGTTTCACCATTTTTATCTGCCCAGTTGGGCTTTGAACCTCAGTCCTCAGAACTTAGTATCCTGAGCAGCTATACTTTTTTTTTTTTTTTTTTTTAAAGTACCGGGGATTGAACTCAGGGCATGCTAAGCAGTCCATTGGAATACACCACCACTGCTGCCACCCCAGGTGAAAATAAAGCTGAATATCTGTAATGTAAGAAGTGAATATACTTGGAATGTAAAGATGTTTGGTTATTACAGGGTTCTCCCTCTACTAAGCGACGGGGTCAGATGTTACAGCCAATCATAGAAGGAGAAACTGCACATTTTTTTGAAGAAATCAAGGTAATCATTTAGAGAAGCCATTTCTAATCAGTGGCTTATGCTTGTAATCCTAAAGGGAAAATTGTAAGTAATGCTATGTTTGGTTATCTTTGGATTTCTTTTTAGGAAGAAGAAGAGGAGGATAGTGTTAGTTTGTCCTCTGAGTTAAGTGATATCTTGAAAACAGCTGTACAGGCACAGTCTTCATTGGAAAACTCAGAGTCTGATGTTGAAGAAAATCAAGAAAAACTAGCTCTGGATCTTCGATTATCAAGTTCCCGAGCAGCTTCTATGTATGTATCTGATTTGTGATTTTTACCTATTTGAATAATATGCCAAGAAATCCTATGTTAAACAATTACTTGAATGGTATCAATACAAGAGAATAAGCTGGGTGCTGGTGGCTCGTGCCTGTAATCCTAGCTACTTAGGCTTAAGATCTGAAAATTGTTGTTCAAAACTAACTTGGGTAGGAAAGTCTTATCTTCTATTAACTACCAGAGAACTAGAAATGGAGCTGTGGCTCAAAGTGGTAGAGTGTTAGCCTCAAGCAAAAAAAGCTCAGAGACAGTGCCCAGGCCCTGAATTCAAGCCCTAGGACCAATAACAACAACAAAAGAATCAGTGATTTGTAAACACATTTTTATTCTCATTACATTTTTTTTTAAAGGTACAGGAACCACCTGAAGGTTTATCCATTAGTTCTATATCTACATAGTGGTTCTCAAACCTTACTCATTTTACAATCAACTAGGAAGATTTTTTTTTTTTCAGTCATGGGGCTTGAACTCTGGGCCTGAGCGCTGTCCCTCAGCTCTTCAGTTCAAAATGAGCACTCTACCACTTGAGCCACAACACCACTTCCAGTTTTCTGGTGGTTTATTAGAGATAACAGTCTCACAGGGGCTGGGAAGGTGGCTCAGTGGTAGAAGGCCTGCCTTGCATGCATGAGGCCCTGGGTTCGATTCCTCAGCACCCCATAAGCAAAAAAGAAAAAAGCCGGAAGTGGCGCTGTAACTCAAGTGGTAGAGCGCTAGCCTTGAGCTGAAGAGCTGAGTGACAGTGCCCAGGCCCAGAGTTCAGGCCCCATGACTGGACCCAAAAAACAGTCTCCCAGACTTTCGTGCCCAGGCTGGCTTTGAACTGTAATCCTCAGGTCTCAGCCTCCTGTGTAGCTAGGATTATAGGCCTGAGCCACCAGTGCCCGGCTAAAGATTTTTGAAGTACTAATGCTGACAAACTTGGTTTATAGTGAGTGGAGCTTAGCTATTGTTAATGCTCTAAAAACTAAGTGAGGTTAATTTGCAGTCAAGTGTAGAACTACTCTTTAAGAAGACATGTGCTCATGCCAGTAATCATAGCTACTTAAGAAGCTTAAGATCTGAGGAAGCCACCCAGTCAGAAAAGCCTGAAAGACTATCTCCATTTAGCACAAAAAGTCAGACTTGGAGGCATGGTTTAAGTGATAGAATATCAGCTGTGAATAAAATGTCAATCTAGAGCTGGAGGACCCTTGGTGTAAGCCCTGGTAAATACTATGTATGTATGTACATGTACATGTACACACACACACACACACACACAATGTTTTACTTTATTTTAGGCCTGAATTACTGGAACAACTTTGGAAAGCCAGAGCTGAGAAAAAGAAACTACGCAAAACATTACGGGAATTTGAAGAGGCATTTTATCAACAAAATGGAAGGTTAGTTGAACATGACAAATAAAGGCACATTTGTTCTTTAGCTTACAAAGTGCCAATATGTTAAAACATATAGAAATAGAAATAAATTACCTTGACTGTCCCAGTGGTTTAGATTTGCAAAGCTGCATAGGAGGCAGAGAAACATGAGGCTTGAGGTTAGCCCAAGCATAAAGTCTTCATGTCACCCTAGCTTTGTGTGAAATATAAATAGGATTGGGGTCCAGGTCAGTCTGTGTAAAAAGTGAGACCCTATATGGAAAATACTGAGAGCAGGAAAGGACTGGGGTATTACTCAAGTTGTAGAGCTTCTTTCTTTCTTTCTTTTTTATTGCTATTGTAAAGTTGATATATTAGAGGGATTACAGTTACAGAAATCAGGTACAATTCTTTTTAAACCATGCCCTCCCTTCCCTTGCTCTCTACCAGTTCTTCCCTTTTCCCTTCTGTCCCCACCCACAAGATGTACAGTTCATTTTCCATGTAATGTCTAGTGAGTGCCACTCTTGTATTTGTTCACCCTTTGTTTCACCTTTTCTGTGCCCCCACTTACCCTTCCAAACACAAACAAGGCAAACGGAAAACAAAAGCAGCAAATAACAGTGACCAAAAATTATGTTTCCTTTTCTTGGAGTTAATTTCATAAAAATTATATATATATAATTATATATATATATATATATATATATATTTTTTTTTTTGGTTGTGGGGCTTGAACTCTGGGCCTGGATGCTGTCCCTCAGCTCTTCAGCTCAAGGCTAGCCCTTTACCACTTGAGCCACAGTGCCAATGTCGGTTTTCTGGTAGGGTATTGGAGATAAGAGTCTCACAGAATTCTCCTGCCCAGGCTGGCTTTGAACCGTGATCCTCAGATATCAGCCTCCTGAGTAGCTAGGATTACAGGCATGAGCCATTGGCACCTGGCCATAAAGTATTATTTTATGTGATAATATGCATATAGCTATTGAGCCTTTGTCAATCACTCCTATACATATCCTCATTTGACCTTAGTATGTGAATGTCTATAGGGTCCTAGGTAATTTATCCCTGTATTTGTGGGTGTATTTTTTTTTTTTTAACATTCAGTGTGCTTACCTGTAGATTTATAGTCACATTCTAGTTACCACAAATGAGGGAAACTGTGCTATGTTCATTTGGCTCTGGCTTACTTCATTTAGTATAACTTTTTCCTAGTCTTTCCATTTCCTTATGAATGGTACAATATTGTTCTGATGAATGAGTAGAATTCCATTTGTATATATGCCACATTTTCTTGAGGAGTATCTGGGTTGATTCCATATCTTGGTATGGTAAATAATGCTTCAATGAACCTGGCTAATCTAGTTAGTAGCTTTAGTGTGGCCCTGTTGTGTTCCACTGGCCCAGGAGTGGGATCGCTGGGTCATAGGGGAGCTCTTTTTGAGGAACCTCCATACTGCTTTCCAGAATAGTTGAACAAGTTTACATTCCCACCAATAGTGTAATATTGTTCCATTTTGGCTGCATTCCCACCAGCATTATAGTTATTCTTGATAATGGCCATTCTAACTGGGGTGAGGTGGAATCTGTTTTGTTTTGATTTGCATTTCTTTTATGACCAGAGATGATGTGTCTGTCTATTGGCTATTCTTAACTTCCTCCTCTGAAAAGTCTCTCCGTAAGGCTTTAGCCTGTTTATTGATTGGGTTTTTTTTTTGAAGTTTAGCTTTTTTGAACTCTTAAGTATATTTTGAACTCTTAAGTATATATGAGGCCCTTGTCTAATGCATAGCAAGTAAAGATCTTCTCATTGCTAGCTATGTCCTTTGTCATGTAGAAGTTGTAGAGTACCTTTTTCACAATTGTGAGGGCCTGAGTTCAAATGTCATTGTCAGAATAAATAAAGTTAAAATAAAATTTTAGGGCTGGGCTGTAGCTTAGTGACCAAGCACTTGCCTAGCAAGTACAGCGTCCTGGGTTCAATCCCCAGTACCAAACAAAATGGAAAAAAAGGACAAAAATTTATAACATTCCCTATGCTCTGAAGTTCTGCTGTTATTAGTGGCAAGAAAAAGTCAAAGCTTGAGTATCTTCCCTTAACCTTCCCCCCCCCCCCCCCTTTTTTTTTTTGGTGCTGGTACTGAGGCTTGAATTTAGAGCCTCATGCTCTTGCTTGGCTTTTTCTACTCAAAACCTGCACTGTACCACTTGAGCCACACCTCCACTTCTGGATTTTTGCTGGTTAATTGGAGATGAGTCTTATGGATTAGTTTTCCTGGCTGGCTTTGAATTTCAATCTTCAGATCTCATTTTCCTTGAGTAGCTAAGATTACAGGCAAGAACCATTAGCACCGGAATAAACATCTCATAAAATATTTCAAGGTTGACCTAAGGAGTCTTAGTGCATTGAATTTGTTTTCGTTTTTAACCTAGGGCTTTTCATATGCTAGGAAAGCACTCTACCACAGAGCTGCCTCCCTAACCCATGGAGTTTAATGTTTAACTCTGCCTCCTTACCCTTAGGAAGCAGTGGTGAAATGAGATATGGTGGTTTAGAAAGAGTCCAGCGTAGAAGTGGTATCCTCTACTAGTTAGGTAGAGCTGCTTGTTGTGTTTCTAGGATTTGAACAGTGTAGGTGAAATGTGACTTCTATAAAATATGACATTTGTTTTTATTGTAGCCCATATATAAAATGAGGGGAGACTTTTTTTTCTGTATTGTAGGTTTGAACTCAGGGACTTCATGATCTCTAGCACAATTTCTCCTTGGTTATTTTTAGGATACTATCTTTCCCAAGTACATGTCTAGCTATGATCTGCCTACTATTATAGGCTTCCTGTCATCATTACTATTACAGTCATACTGTCACATCCAGCTTCCCTTCTGTGGAGGGAGTCTCTCAGACTTTTCTTCCTGGGCTGGCCTGGCACCATGATCCTCCAATCTCTCATGATGGGTGGGTGCTTCTGTGCTCAGTTATAGATTGAGAAGAGACAGATTTCAATAATTTCTGCTCTCAAACCACTCTTAAAGGATTACAAGTGTGAGCCACATGTACCTGGCTCCTGGGGACAGAGACACTCTTTAAAAAAAAAATCCCAGAAAATTGTCAGAAATGAGGTTAATCCAATTAACACTTAAACAAATTTCAAAATGCATTTTAATTCCTTCAGGAATGCTTTTTCTTTTCTTTAAATTGGGAGGTATTTTTGCTTGTTTACTACTTTAAAGTTACTAATCTTTTGTTGTGAACTCCAAGTGTAGGCACTGTTCTTGAGCTCTTAAAGGCTAGCGCTCTATCACTTGAGCCATAGAGACACTACCAGTTTTCTGGTGGTTAATTGGAGATAAGAGTCTCAGTGGACTTTCCTGCCTGGGCTGGCTTTGAACCGTGATCCTCAGATCTCAGTCTCCTGAGTAGGATTACAGGCGTGAGCCACTGGCGCCAGGCTAAAGTTACTAACCTTTTGTTACTGGTTAATGGAGCCACAAATTAATAATTCAGTATATGAAATCTAACTTTGCAGCACGTAGCAGTGGCTGGGTAATCTCTGGTTTACTTTGATCATTGATAAGAAATATAGCATTATTAGTAGAAAAATAAGAAATATAGCATTATTCGTAGAAAAATTGGTTAAAAGACGATCAGAAATTTGAGAGGTCTGAGAATCAGTCCAATAACCTTCTTTCTTACAGAGTAGCTTTTTATTTCAACTTATAACGTAGGACAAGTAACGGAGTTGAAGTTTCAGAAGTTGTACTCATTTTCCAGGTGGTTACTAGAGTATTACAACTTTTTTATTTTCTCTCCTAGGAATGCCCAGAAAGAGGATCGTGTTCCAGTGCTTGAAGAATACAAGGAATACAAGAAAATTAAAGCCAAGCTTAGGCTTCTTGAAGTTCTTATCAGCAAACAAGATTCTTCAAAGTCCATATAAAAATACGTTCCTTGAAAATTCACATCATAAAATCAGTTGTATTCCTTGAAGCTATCATCACTTAACTTGTTGGCTGGTACTTGAGTTCATTTTGTCAGGCACGCAGAGAATCTCACTTTGTACTTGGTTGTGGTGCCACTAAACAAAGGATGGGGAGGGAAAGTAGGCCCTCTCTTGGGAGTGTGATGTTCCATATTAACCATAAGACTGTCTCTCCACCTTTAGCAAACAAGCCGTTTCCTTCATTGTTTTCTACTACAGATACATCCTGTTAAGCAAAAGACTAGATTTATCCTTTGAACTTCAAGAACTTTGGAAATACAAATATTTTATTTACTTTTTTTTTCCATTACTGAAGAATATTGAGAGGAAAATCTTCATGCTGAGTTCTTCGGTTGCCTTTTTTCTTACAGAATGACTGAAAATTTGAAAGAAAAGCCTATAAAAGTGACATATGCAACTTTATTCTGTTTTCCTAGAGAAACCAAAATCAGACTGAAATTTCAAGTCCTACTGTGGAACACTTTCCTGTTTAATTCCAAAAGTGACACATTCGCACAGGTAGTATGGTAGCAAAAATTTGCAATTCAGTGGTCACTTAGCTCTTGGATGAAGATAACAATGGGTAGACCAAAAAGTGACCTTGCTAATTTATTTGTCTATTGAAATATACCACACATCAAACACAGAAGTAAATCATATCACATGCTGCCTATAGGACTTAAGTTACTGTTATTCCTAAGTTACTGTTTATCAGCTGGTGATGTGATTTTTCTAGATCAGATCTTGTGCTCTTCCTCTCCCTCACCCCACCCCCACACACACCAGATAATGTGAGAAAATAGCCATGTCAGTATGTAGGAACTCTGATGGTGCTCAGATTTGTGTGTTTGATCAAGTGGGCCTAAATTGGCAAAATAATTATGCCTAAGTAAAATCTGTTTTTAACAAGGGCTATATACACCACTGCAGTTTTTCATGTACCTTCAGGGGGCCGCATTGTTTCCCCTGTCTGAATTACCAAAATGTGGACAGAGTCCCCTATAAAGTGAACACCTTTTCTCATTCATGCTTTCTAAAGCAGTGCTTACAGGATCTGTAGTGAGTGGTATACCCCTTGTCATGCATCTTTTTTCTTTGGCTTTGCATGCCTTTTTTTTGCATGCCTTTTTTTCAGGTATTCTAATTTTTCTGGAATGGTGACTTGATTCAAGCTTAATGTGTTAATTTTTTTTCCTGGTGCTTTTATGGATTGATGAGTGTCTCACTTTGTGCCCATGTTTGCATGCAGTGGCTCACGCATGGTTTCTTAACTAGCTAATATTAAAAGTTTGTCTCATACAAGAATGAAATTTTACAGCATCCTTTAATAACATGAGGGAAGCATGAACCTCAGGTTTTTGGCACTATTAATAGTAAGCACATGAAGTAGCATAGTGTTTCTAGTATTTTATATTTCTCATGTGTGTGCAATGAATGCCTTTTTCAGAGGAGGGAAAATCCAGTGGTAGTGAATTTGTAGTTGAGGGATTTAAAAAGAAAAAAAAAAAGCACTAAATCCAGTCGTTTTTGTGTGGTTTCCTTTTGATACAACTAGGTTATTCATAATGTATTCCTAGGAAAGTAAAACTAAAATGCCAAAAAATTGTATCATTTTGATTTGAATCCATCATGTGGTGTACATTTCAGTTAATTTTCTTTCACTATCCAGTGTAACATCTAATTTTATGTGCACTATAATATTGTTTTTTATGAATGTTTTATTTTATATACCACATGCAAAAATGTCCATGTGCACTATTTAAATGTTTTAAATAATATATTCCTTCTTTATAATGCTGAATCTATTTGAGTACCATATTTTTATAAGTCAGTGGCCTGAATAGTTTGATTTTAGCATTAATAGCTGATTCCTGATGTTAGATATTGTTAATATTTAGCTGCGAGTAGAATAGCTAACAATGGCATGGCAGCACTTAAGCTTTGTACAGTATTTTGTGTTATAGTTGAACTGTAGGTGGTAGAATTAGGCAGTTTGTGATAGTTATACATTGGTATCAATAAAAACTATATACAAATCATATATAGATATATATGTCCACCAGAATAATTGTATTGCTGTGTCTGGCACTTCATTGTATAGAATTTTGTAATAAAAGAACCTCAATGTTCTATGTCATTGTAAAATGCATATTTGTTTTCCCAATAGGTGTTAAAGAAAAATGTTAAGACCTCAAAAGTACCATTTGCCTTAATGTTCTTACACTTATTTGAATTGCCTGAGGGATTGCCTCCGCCCAGGACCATGTCCAGGGACAGAAGGATTGCTAAACAATTTGGCTGGCCACAGCTCTGAAGTGATAAGGCAAGAAAGAAAAAACTATGGATTTCTTCCCAGGTGTGGATATAGAGAGAAGCTCTGGGAAGAAAAGTCACTGTTTCTTATTGCAGTGAATGACCATATTAAGAGAACCTTATGTACAGTGTCTGAGAAGAGCTTAGCTAAGAAGATGGGTGGTAGCTCTGAAATTCTTTATTTAGTGGGCACAGATGGTGTGCATTTGTAGTCCAAGCTACTCCAGAGACAGAAAGGGCCCCACTTGGCTCTGGAATTCAAGGCCAGCCTGGGCAACAGTAAGACCCTTCCTCAAAAATAAACAATAAAAACTAGGCCAGGTGTAGGCTGCTCACACCTGTAAGTCCTAGTTATCCAGAAAGGCTGAATCTGAGGATTACTTTTTGAAGTCAGCCTGGGCAGAAGAGTCTTAAGAGATTCTTATCTTCAGTTGACCAGCAAGACATTGGAATAGAAGTGTGACTTGCGTGTGGTGGAGGGCCAGCCTTAAGCAAAAAAGCTAATGTAAGATCCTAATATGCAGACGCAAAATGTTTTTAAATTTTTAAGCTGGTCATGGTGGCATTCCAACTATTTGAGAGGTGGACAGAAGGAGAATTGCAGTTTGAGGCCAGTCTGGATAAAAAGTTTTTGTGACTACCTACTCAACCAGTAAGCTAGGCATGTGCTCATCATCCTAGGTATGATAGAAGTGTATAAGTGAGAGAGGATTGTGGTCCAGCTGGCCTAGGCAAAAACACCATGCTCTGTTAGAAAAAAATAACTGAAGCAAGGACTGGGGAGGTCATAGCTCTAGCTGAATTCAAACCTCAGTATTCCAATAAATAAAACCTAGTCAAATGATCCTGCTGCTTGAGCTAAGAAACATATGGCTGAGGAGGGGATGTCTCCTAGGAATAAAATTTCCCCTTCAGTTTCCAAAATAACCTGTCATACATACTTTACAACTATCTAAATATAGCTCTTGCAGCATCCTTAGTTGCAATTTGCAAACAATGTCTTACGACCCTGCTATGGCTACCCTTATTTCATTTTGGGGAAACTGTACATGTGCTAGAGAATTTCTAGTTTGAAGGTACAGTGAAATTTCTATACTTGCCTGGAAGTTTCTTCTATACTTTTACTGTAGTGGGGAGAGGAGAGAGATTATGGGTGGTACATAATGGTTTTCTAGAATCCGAGTCTTGTATTATTTATAGCTAAGGGAAGTCAGAACATAAGGACATGGCGTACTTGAAAGTGTTAACATACTGTTAGAAAAAAACCATACTGTTAGGAAAAAAACCATCTTATCTGCTCCACAAACATTGATAAGCATTACTTTGTATCTTCACATTCACAGAATTTAATAAGCCTCATAAATATGGTGTGTAAACTTGTAACATGCATGGATTGTACAGTGGGTTGTCCACTCGGCAGCACTTAATCACTGAAAATCACCTGGTTATTGTAATAAATGACAGGTGGTTTGTGTTTCTCACGTAATCTAGACTGGGTGTCCAGTTTGTGGCACAGCACTTGACTACTATGAGCAAGGACCTGGTCTATCCATCCTATCATGCAAATAAAGTCTGAAAAGGGGACACTTTCAGGAAATAATTCAGTCTTGAGTGTTAGAAACGCTACATGATTGCATAACAGATTCTTACCTCCACTGTGTTAGTATTGTAGAGCAGAAAGCTTTCTCATCACTCCGTTAAGTTTTGAATTGATGTAGTGTAATTCTTTCTCCAGCTCCACAGTATATAAAAAGAGTCTAGAAGATAATTTAGGAGAGAATCAGTAAATCTAGTAAAGCAATGGCAAGTTACTAGTCCCCTGTGAAATGCTTTGAGAAGATAGGTTTATTCTATTTATAAAGCTATATTCTAAAGCTATATGAAGAACAGAATGTGCTGTGTCATAAAATATAAATGTCGCTTTTTTCATAGATGTAGAGATACAGTTGCTCTCAGATTTTAATAATAGAGTCATGTGCTTTAACTTTAAATTGGGCAGAAAATAGAAGAGGCATATGAAAGAATAAACTTCTAAATGGAACAGCATTAATCTGCATATCATGGTATCCCATAGTACCCTGGTAAGAATACATGCTTACTCTCTAAATTCTTGCTGAGTGACTGGCTGGTAGTCATCTTGAGTTTCTGTAGAATAGTACTTTTTTTCAAGTCTTTCTTTCCACTTTTTCATTTGCTCTGCCCTTTGAATCTCCTGTTAATTTAAATAACAAGTATAGACCAAAATCTTTAATTCTCGATTTTGAGTCTTTAGTATATAAGCATCATTGCCTTGATCCTTAAACTGTATTTTTCAGATTTTAGAAATTAAGCTCATTGGCTTTTGCTTTTTCTTTTTTTAAATATTGCCCTGACTTTTTTCCTTTTGGATCTGAGTTTCCTCCAGCATTTCCTTAATCTGGTCAAAGTTGATACCTTTACTGTACCTCTGTTCTTTTTTTTTGGTGCCAGGCCTGGATAATGTCCCAAGCATTTTTGCTCAAGGCTAGCACTCTACCACTTAAACTACAGTCCTACATCTGCCTTTTTTGGTGGTTAATTAGATATGAACCTCATGGACTTTCCTGTCCAGGCTTTGAACCATGATTCTCAGAACTCAGCCTCAAACATAGACCTTGTCTCAAAAAAACAAAAAAAACCCCAAAGGTTACCCACTACCACCAACAAATGTTTTTGTGGTACTGAGGTTTGAACTCCAGCCTCATATATATTTGCTAGAAAGGTGTTCTACCAATTGAGTCATGCCCCAGTCCTTTTTACTTATTTTCCTGATAGGAACTTTTTTTTTTTTTTTTTTTTTTGCCTAGGCCAGCCTGGAGACCCTCTTCCTACTTACGTACCTTGTGTGGCTGGGATGGTAGGTACGAGTCACCACACCTAGTTTACTGGCTTCATGAATAGGTGGGATTAATGAGAATGCACAACCATGTTCAGGTTTTTATTTACTCTTGTGTTTAGCCTGTGTTTGCCTTATAAACCATTTTGTTCTGGCCAGAGAAACTTGATATATTACTGGCTCTTTGTTTAAAGCAAAAAGGGATGGCTTTCAATTTTTCTAATTTTAGAAATTCAGCATCTAGGGTTTTTGTTTTTGGGGTCGTGGGGCCTGAACTCTGGGCCTGGGCGCTGTCCCTCAGCTCTTCAGCTCAAGGCTAGCACTCTACCATTTGAGCCACAGCACCACTTCCGGCTTTTTTCTTTTTGCTTATGTGGTGCTGAGGAATCGAACCCAGGGCCTCAGGCATGCAAGGCAAACGCTCTACCACTGAGCCACCTTCCCAGCCCCGGTTATTTTTTGTTTTATCATTTTTTTGTTGTTGCTTTGTCTTGGGGCTTGAACTCAGAGCCTGGGTGCCATCCTTGAACTTTTTTTCTCCCTGAAGTCTAATAGTGCTCTACTACTTGAACACTTCTGGCTTGTTGCTGGTTAACTGGAGATTAAGAGTCTTGGATTTTCCTGCCTCGGCTGGCTTCGAACCATCATCCCTCAGATCTCAGCCTCCCGATGAGTAACTACAGTTACAGGCATAATCAAAGCTAGCGCCCAGGTTTTGACATACTGTTTATTTATATGGCAAGGCTGTGAAACTATTTCTAATTGATGAAGCTGCTTATAATGTGGATGCATTAGTAATACAGGCTGAATAGACTATGCATTGCAAACAATTCATCCTTCAAAAATCTGCATCTTAGCTATTGCCTTTTCTATTTATTTATTTTTTTGGGTCCAGTCGTGGGGCCTGAACTCTGGGCCTGGGCGCTGTCCCTCAGCTCTTCAGCTCAAGGCTAGCTCTCTACCACTTGAGCCACAGCGCCACTTCCAGCTTTTTTCTTTTTGCTTATGTGGTGCTGAGGAATCGAACCCAGGGCCTCTGGCATGCAAGGCAAGCGCTCTACCACTGAGCCACCTTCCCAGCCCAAGATACTGCTTTTAAAACATACTTTTAAAGCTGAGCGCCAATAAGCCTAAGTATGCTGATGTTTATTAGAACATTGTATTACTAGCATTACTGCTTTTATTTTCTTTTTTACAATAAGTATATTTGTGGCAAAGTACATAAATGTCTCATTTGTCATAAGGCTCTTAAATCATTTGTATATTTAGGTCAACATGGTCTCATGAAATCCTATTTTATTCATGGTATTATTTCCAGATTGTCCAAATTGACTTGGGTCCTTTAAAAAATTTGCTTCAGTATATCTTTCAGTCTCTGCTTCAAACTATTTCAGATATTTTTTGTGCTTTACAGCCCCAGAACTAGGCAGATCTCCAAGGAGCCATAGTTCTTTTTAGAAACCAAGACCAGAGTATCTAGGCTGAATTTCCTCTAGAAAGAGATAGAAAATACATATGTATGGTAGTAAACTTGGTAAGCAAGCATGAAACTCTAAAATACCATACTTGGCAGTAGCCGGGCGCTGGGGCTCATGCCTGCATCCTAGCTACTTAGCTACTCAGATCACTGAGGCTCAAAGCCAGCTTGGGCAGGAAAGTCTTGTGAGACTTAGCTCCAATAAACCACCAGAAAACTGGAAGTGGTGCTGTGGCTCAAGTGGTAGATTGCTAGCCTTGAAGAGCTGAGGGACAGTGCCCAGGCCCAGAATTTAAGCCCCATTACCGACACCCCCTCCAAAAAAAAATGCATGTATATGTACATAAACACATCTTCAATTCTAATCCAGAAACCTCATTCTACTGCCCTCTTGAGTTGCAGGGTGACCCTTTCCTTTTTCCTTTCTTCTTTCCCCCTTTCCCCTTTCCTTTCCTTCTTTCTTTTTTTGCCAGTCCTGGGGTTTAAAC